AAGATTATACAATCCTATAAATGTAATCACTATGCATTTTAAAATATCTTCTAAATTAACATAATATATTTCCAAATCAATATCATTAACTCCATCCTTCTCTGTCTGCCACAAAAATGGAGCATCAAAAGTAATTTTTAAATAATTCAAGTTTATTAACACATTTAATAGTGATTCTCTTCACTTTAAAGAGATTGACCTCATTTCTTTGAAGACTTAGAAGACTTTTTATTTTCAAATATAGCCACATTTCTCAAAATTTCAATGTCTAATTGTCATTTATTGTAGCATTTTTTCACAGTAGAATCAAATAGTGAAGCTAATCTTTTTAACCTATTTTATTTGAAGAACCATTGTGCTGCTACATGTAAGACAAGATATTCATACTCTTACTCACAGTCATTTGATAAATAATACTATCTCAGTCAAAAGAAACTACTCATGACATTAGCTGATCCATGCAGTCTTTCACTCCAATAATGGATACATATTTTTCCAAGCATAATGTACAAGTGCTGTTCATCAGGACAGACTAATAATTGTTTGCCCTAATACAAAGACTGATCAAAGGGGCCTGCTTTCACAAATTGACCAGACGGTGTGAGACAGCATGAAGGTTTCCAAGACTAACTAATTGCATTTTCACAAGTTTTTCACTGATCTAATGGCCTCCAATCATTTGTCTTCAAGGCTAGATTGGAGCAGAGAATAATCAACTTATATGTGCATGTTTCTTATCAAACACTCCCTTATGCAATAATAGACACAAGGCAATCTGGGACAAAACAAGGACACCTGAAGTAAAATGCTATGTGCGTGTGTGCGCGCGCACATACACACACATACACACACACACAGGTGGCAGAATAAACGAAGATAATTTCCAAATGTTTTACCTCCAAACCTAAAAGTCTAATGATCTTGTGCAAAGATCTGACTCTAATTACTCTTTGGTGATAAATGCCAGGATAACAAAGTAAATTCAGCAGTGGGAGCCCAAGGAAACTAGTCTGAACTCAGGTCACTATTGAGGCTGACTGACTGGTAGCATCAAGGATATGTGGAGTTTGGGCACAAGGGGTGCAGTGGGTCCATCTGTTGGTACCAGGGTGCTCTAGAAGGCTCTAGGTGAGGGTTCTTAAAATAACCTCAGTGGGACTCCAGAGCTGTAACAGAAAATGACAGTGATTGCTGTCAGTTCTGTATTGTTTCAGCTGCAGTTTTAGCTTGTTAGGAGCTTATGTATTATTTGTATAAATGGTCTCTAATTTTGTAAGGCCAAGGTGAAAAAACAATCATTGGTTCTACTATGCTTTTTATTATAGTGGTCATGCATGCTTGTAATTGCAGAGTACATATTCATTCTAGAAGATGCAGCAAGGAAAATATTTTAATACTATTTATAATAAATAATATTTATATGCTAAATATTAAAATATGAATTGTATGGTATAGCATTTATTACATAAATATATGTATAGTGTTTATTGTTACATTATAATTTATTCTATTAGTATAAAACAATATTAAATATTATTCATATTAAAAATAAATAATACAGAAGGGCATCATCCAGAGATCACACTGGAATCATTTTGATATATACATATTCAAGTTTTTAAAACATATAATGTCTAGGGCCTCCCCTGGTGGCGCAGGCGGTTGAGCACAGCGCTGTGAGGCTGTCTGCAGCCTCTGCAGCACCGGTTCGATCCCCACCAGTTGGCGAGGGGCCCACATGGCACAGCAGACCTCGCTTGTCTCACCCGCAGCTTCCCTCAGCAGTGTGTTTCATCGGTCTGCCTGCTCTGTTCCCCGCTCGGACTCTGGTGAATCCTCTCACCCTCCCGCACATCTGGCCTGTACCCTGGTTGTTGTATAAAATAAATAAATAAATCTTTAAAAAATAAATAAAAAACATATAATGTCTATATTTAAAACATGGGTAGATAATTCATATATTTACAGTCCCCAAAAGGTTGCATTTTAGATGGTAATAAATACGTTCTCTGATTTTGTCATTACTGGTTAATCAACCAGTCTTCTAGCATTGGGCTTCACAAAAATGCATCACTAAAAATCCTGCAGCCAAATTCTTCCCAGTTAAAGGTGTCTTTAACTGACACCTTTTGGAAAGTCAGCTTGTCCTCAACTATTTCACTGACTCCATAAGCCCAGAAGCTCCAGAAGAGAGTGAGCCCTCTCACTGGAAGCCTGGCGGCTGGGGTTTAATGCTTCTGGTTGATGAATTCAGCTCGGACTGACGTTCTGGCTGTTACACAGCAGCTTTTATGTCAACACCGGGAACCCTGAAAAGCTGTGCTTTTCCAAGCACAGACAGGTAGCAACGTTTCCACACCTTTACAACATAGAATAATACCGTGCAAGCCACCTCCATGCAGAATAAATCTACACCTATGACATCTGAAGCAACATCCAGGCACATTTTATGACAGCACACATAAAACCATTGTAAGAATTCCTTTCCATGCACTTAATTATAAACAGCCCTTCGAGGACTGAAAATGCTGGCCAGGCCAGCAGAGGGTGCTGTACAGACGCAGCGGTGGACGGAGATCCCTCCTCAGGACTGAGCACCCCATTTCTGCAACAGGTGGAAACGCTGTGAGACCCCCAGGGGCTAGGCCCAGCCATTCTGCTGCTGAGGAAGAAGCTGACTAGTGGCCCCTCCCTATTGCGTGGGGTTGGGGGGTGGCAGGGAGTCTGTGTAGGGGCCCAGGTTCCTGAGGTCCGGGTTGCTAAGGTGAGCGTGTGGTTGTAGGGAATGGAATCAAATCTGAGCATCTTGCAGGGATCCATCCTCCTTAGCAGATGGGGAAAGCTAGTCAGGGAGTAGACCAGCGGGCCGGGACAGGGGCCGATGCCAGCACTGACTCAGAGGCCACAGGCCATGGTGTACGGTTTGGACCAGCAACTGCAGAGTCAGCTTGAGATTGAGAAATCTTCCCCCTGCAGCTGCGCCAGAGCCCCGGGGTGGAGGCAGACCCTCGGGAGCAGTGAGGCCGGTTTGGAGAAACCCTGAGGCCTAGGAGTGGTCACCTAGACATGGGACCAAGACTGAGACCAGTTTTACAAGGGCGCACTCTTGGGCTTTCTGAAGAGTCCTGGATGACAAACGTGTCCAAGATTTAAAAGAAATAAAAAGAAAACTGTGTCCAAGGTCTCCTTGACCTCAAACCAAAAGCGATCGATCGTTTCTTTCCCCTATAAAATAGGTTTATTCAGAAACAACAAGGAGGCAATTTGGAAAGTGCAGTCTCACCGCGAGACGCAGGTGCTGCCCCCGGAGCAGGTGCCCGCACCCCCTCATGCGGCTCAGGGGCGGGGTGGGCCGGGGGCCTCTGCTCCTGCCCTGCAGCTGCTCTCCCGAGGCGCAGGGCTGCTGTCCGGTCGCTTGCTGGTGGGACCTGACGGGAAGCTGCTGCTCTCCCCTTCAAATAGTTTTCTGTGGATTAATGTGCAGTCTGGAGTCTCGACTCGCGGGGCTCAATGTCTGAAAACGACGGTGCAGTGAGGACACGAGCTGCACACGCGCGCCTCAGGAGGGAGCGTGTGAACATCGAGGCCATCGCGAATCGCGCGTGTAGACTCCGAGCCTCTTGCCGCGAGCTCCTGTTGCGGGTGGGTTCTCGGGGGGCAGGCGGGGACGCAGCTGGGATGTGGCCTCCGGGGTGTCCTTCCATCGGGGCGGGCGGGGGCAGGGAGGAGCTCGCAGGTGGCCTCCAGAGTCCAGGCGCGCGGAGCTAGAACCGCCCTCAGGCGTGTCCTTCCCTGCACTGAGCCGGCCTCAGAGTCCCCCCGGCCCGGCTCCCGGGGCTGCACGACCTGGCGTGTCTGATCGGCCTCGAGAAGCCCCCGAGACTGGGCCGATGCCCCGCAGGCCGCTCCCCTGCAGCCGGGCATGGGGCGGATCTGGCTGGCCGGGCTGCGTGCCCAGCAGTGTCTCCTGGACACTGACACCCCCGAACCCTGAAGTTCCCCCCCACCCTTCTCCCCCAATGTCTGTCCGTGGCCTGACAGGGTGGGGGTGAAGGCTGAGCGGCGGTGAGGTTCTCCCCAAGGAGCCTACTATAGGCGCGCGAAGCTGCGCTCTTGGTTTGTTTGTTTTTTAAAGATTTATTTTTTAGTTATACAAGAACCGGGGTACAGGCCAGAGATGGGGGTGAGAGGGTAACCCAAAGACAAGAGCGGGGAGAACAGGCAGGCTGAAGACAGCCACTGCGGAGGGGCGCAGCGGGGAGCCAGGAGAGGTCTGCCGCGTCGTGTGGGTATCTCCCCAGCCGGGGCTCGAACCGGCGCTGCAGAGGCTGCTGCGGACAGCCCCACAGCGCTGCGTGCAACGCCTGCGCCCCCGGGGTCCGCTCCAGTGTTCCTCACCACTGGGCGAGCACTCCGCACCCCCCCCCCCCGTGGGGCTGTGAAGCCGGGGGGGGGGGGGGGGGGGGGGGGGGGCCCGCCGGCCCTGAGGCCCCAGAGGCGGGGCGGGGGGGTTGGGCGGAGCCGGCCGTCCCTTCCCGCGCTCTGCCTGCGGCATTTCGGGTCTTTCCCAAAATACTCGCTTTCCCTTCCGTGCGGGTGATTCGGGGGGAGGGGGAGGGACGGGGGGGGACGGGGAGCCCGCCTAGGGAAGGCGGGGCGACGTCGCGCGGCCCCGCGGACTCCCGGGAGCACACCGGAAGTGACGGGCAGCCCACGCGCGCCCCGCCCCGCCCGCGTCGTGCGCACGCGCGCAAGGACCCCTCGCGCCGGCGCCCGCGCGCGTCGGACCGGGTGGGGGCGGGACCGGAAACTCGGGCGCGGATTGGCCATTGACGGGGGAAAAAAAAAAATGCGCAAACGCGTTTGAAAGGCCCAATCAGCGCCCGCCCTCGCCGCCAGCCAGCGGGAGGCCGGGGGGGGGCGGGGCGGGGCGGGCCTGCCGTTTGAACGGGCGGCGGGCGGCGCGCGCGGGGCTGAGGGCCGGGGCCGGGCCGCGCGCGCCGCGTCATGGGCGACCACCTGCTGCTGCGGCGCCTCCGGGACAGCCGGCGCCGCTTCCAGAGGCGCATGCGGCAGCTGCTGGAGAAGGTGGGCGCGCCGGCCGGCGGGGGGCGCGGGCGGGGGGCGCGGGGCGGGCGCCCGGGGCTGACGCACCCCCCCCCCCCCCCGCAGTACGACCAGCCCTTCGAGGACGCGCCGCTCGTGCACCTGGCCACGCTGACCTACGCCACGCCGCAGGGTAGGCGCCCCGCGGGCCGGGCGGGCCGGGGTGGGGGCGCGCCGGGGGGCCGTGAGCGACCGAGGCGCGCGTTCCCCGCCGGCCTCTTAGAGCAGCGCTGAGGGCGCCTGGGCGCGGGTTCGCGCCCCGGGGCCGGGGAGATACCCACACGGCGCGGCAGACCCGTCCTGCCCCCCCCCCCCGCTCCCCTCAGGTGTGGATTCCAGTCATTCCGCCTGTTCTGCTCCCCGCTCTGTCTCTGGCGAGTCCTCTCACCCCCACACCTCTGGCCTGTGCTCTGGTTCTTGTATAAATAAATCTTTTTAAAAAGATGCCCTCCCGGCCGGTCGTCCTGTCGCGAGGGCTGTGGGGCAGGCTCGGAAGGTTCCTAGATGCGGGGCTGGACGGGAGTCCCCGGACCTCGGCCCTCGCCGGTCACTTGGGTCTCCGTTGAGTGCGGCTGGGACAAAACTCTGTTCCAAGTTACTTGCATGACTGTTTTCTTCTTCTTTCTCTCAGGCTTGAGGATTTGGGGCGGAGGACTAGTAAAGAAAGGAAGCAAAGCTCAGGTGCAGGTATGTGAAACGCGTGTGAACGAGGTGTGTGTGAGCTGCAGCTGCCAGGAGTCCCCCCGGGCCGTTGTTCTGTGGGTTTTCTCACCCTCACAACTCTTTTCCTGTTCTTGAGGATTTGTGGAGACGTATTTCTTCTGTGCTTGTCAAATGCAGGAACTGAGTGGTGCTTAAGGCTTCCCCGCCCCTGTGTTTCCCCTGCCACAGGCTGGGGCTAACTCCTGGGCCCCACGTGCCAGGCCAGGTCGGTGAGCTAACCCTCCTCAGCCCCCTCTCCAGCCACAGCTGCAAGCTTGCAAAGCTGCCAGTCAGAGATGTGGGATTGGCTGCTTCCCCCCACCCCCAGTTCTCAACCAAGTTCATCCATCCATCACAAAGCAGCCCCGCAAGCTGCCCCAGGCCCACCTGCCTGAGGTGAGGCAGAGGTGTTCCCAGGCAGGAGGCCAATGCTCAGTGGTACGGGCAGCCCCAAGCCCCTAACCCTTAGAGAGGACTCGGGGCACCCCTATAGGAGCAAGATCGTAGGGTGAGGGTTCCTGAAACATCGTTGCTAACCTGTTGTCTCCAGTTGCACTGATGCAAGCCCATCGGGGACTATAAGGACTGTCAGGACACCAGCAGCAGGTGGGAGGCTGCAGACAGCAGAAGGGCCCTGGCTGCGCCTCGGCATGAACCGGCCAGGACCGCTGAGCTTCCTAGCCCAGCTGAGGCGTCGCCTGGCTTCTCAGTGCCGCTGAAGCTTCTGGCCTCAAGTCCTGGAGGCCAACACATGGTCAAGATACAGACCAGGGACCCCAGGGGTGATCCCGGGGACCCAGTGACAGTTTGCCCTGTTTAACATGGGCCAGGGTCGGCCCCTCCATTGTTACCTGAGGCCTCGCTCATCCTGCTCCAGGGCTCACCCTCTAGGTGTTTTCTGAAGTGCAGCCCTTGGCGTGCCCAAAGGGAGAGCCTCTGCTCTGTCTCCTAGGAGTTTCGAGGCCTTTTGTCCTGGAGGGCACAAGCAGTCAGGTGACATCAGCCCTCTCCCCTGCTGAGAAAGCGTTGTAGGGTGTCCTTACTGAAACCCCACGTCTTTGTCGACTCCTGCATTTCAAGGACTCCCCCGAGGAGACGGTCAGCAGAAGAGGAGGCCCCATACGCACCCCGGCCGGCAGCCACCCACCGCCCGCCCCTGGCACATGCAGGAGAGAGGGTGAGTGTCGGGGCTGGCGGGCAGCGTCTGGGGGGTCTGGGCCCCACCGGTCTCCATTAAAGCAATTCAAGTGTGGCTCCTCATTAGCATTTTCTACGAAACGCCTGCACGTGCTGGTTATTTCCCTGTGAGCTCCGGGGCGCTGTCTTGCCCAGTTACTTCCTTGCTGTTTGACGCGCGCACACAGTCAACGTCTCCTGAATAATGAACACATATTATTATTTTTCTGTTTGTTTAATTGGTTTTACTTTATACCAGAAAGTTTAAATTTTTAATTCGATGGGAGAGTTGCCCTGCGGGGTCGCTGCAAACTGCTGACTTCTGCAGAGCGGCCCGGTGGGCTCTCCTGGGCCTCCTTGCCCTCCCTCGGGCCCGCCTGTTCTCCTGGCTGACCCATCAGGCACAGGCCAGGGACCCTCCCTCGTGGAAGGTTTTAGCATCGGAGGTCAGGGGGAGCTGGGGGTGGTGTGAAAGCCGCTTCTCCCTGTCGCTGAGGCCCCTGCCTGTGCCGGGAGGCTCTGGAACAGCCACGCACTGTGCCCTCGCGGGCAGCACTCTGGCAGGTATAGGACCTTTCACGGGGACACAGTCGTTGGTGCAGAAACCACCCTCACGAGAAAAATGCACTTTTTTAAAGCCTGTGACAAGAGTGCCTCTTCGCTCGCAGATCCAAAAAGCAGCGACACTGACGCCACTTTGTTCGAGGAAGATGTGGTTGCTGGATCCTGGGTGGTGAGTCCTGCCTGTGGTGGGGGGTGGGCTTGGCAGGCAAGTGCACATCTTCCCCAGGGCCCTCCAAGCCCCCTTCTGTGCTTGCTTTTCACCTCTCCACCCACCTCGAGTCCCAGGATACCCCCACCCCAGATGCCTGGCCCTGTCTATATCCCTCTGCCCCTGGAGCCTGCTCTACTGTACTTGGGATTGTTGCGGGATTTCTTTGCAGGGAGAGCTGGCCCAGCAGGCCCTTTGCCTTACTGGACCCCAGTGCTGGGGGTGGGTTCTCAGCTAAGCTTCACTTTAGAGATTTGTGGGGAGTGTTCCAGAAGCTCCTCCAGGTCACCCTCGAGAGCCCTGTAGTGCCAAGTCACAGCGCTGGGCGGGCCGTGTTACCCGAGCCGACCCCCATCTCCTGTGGGAGGAGAGCGTCAACTTGTCTCTGTCCTTGGGGTAGACACCCCCATGGCTTATGGCAGGCAGTCCTCATGGGGTCGACTGCTGGAATGCCTGCTGCCTGAGGCCCCGTTGCTGTGTGCGCGGGCTCACCCTTCCACCCGCGACGACCTTGTCTCCCTGGATAAGGGGGTGCTCCAGGGAGGGGAGGTGCTGTCAACCGACGCCTTCTGCAGGGTGGCAGCAAGGAAGAAGCAGGTGCCGGCTTTAAAGAGCTGAGCTGTGGTCCCTGTCTGTGCTCCAACCCCTGGCTCGGCCCCACAGGGGTGCAGAGCGTGAGGGCAACACCCCTCGGCCCAGTGGAAGGTGGGCGGGTGGCTGGAGCCCTGGGTGTTGGCAGCACAGATGGGCCAGTTCCTGGGCAAGTCCTAACCTGCAGAGCAGTTGTGGGTTGCATGGTGCCCATCCCAGCGATGCTGATAAACCTCTCCTGGTGGTTTGGGGCTTAGGGTGTTGTTTTGTTTTGGGGGGTGGGGTGTTGTCTTTTTATGTCTTTTGGGTTCTCGCTAGTGAGTCCCTAGGTCAGATTTTGGGGGCAGGTACATGAGCAGAGGGCTGGACCCCTTGGCGCTGCCCAAGGTGAGGGCGACTTCCAGCGGGGTTTGTCCAGGACTCAGGCCCTGCCAAGCCCGAAACTTGTCCACGCTGACTGTTCTTTCTGCTCAGCCTGCAGAGCCTCAGAGTCCTTTGGAGAACGAGCTAAGAAGGAAATACTTGACCCAAGTGGATTCCCTGCTACAGGATGAAGAGGTAAATTCTTCCCCAGAATTTGCCTTTTCGTAATGAAGTCGTGCCCTGGAGACGCTGCAGAGGTGGGAGCGTCCTGCAGAGACCACCTAAAAGGGGGGCTTCCAAACTACAGGCTCACAGGCTCCCTCTGAGAAAAGGCTCCAGGCCTGCTCCAGCCACGCTATCGGGAACCTCGGGGTGCTCTAGGGCAGGTCAGAGAGGCCTGGGTAGAGGGGTTTTCAGCTGCACCATCAGGGAAGCCCCCACTGGCTCCCTCCCCTGGAAGACCAGGCTGGCAGGGCGGCAGGGTCCTGTGCCAGCTGCCAGGCAGCCGTGCTGCCGTGAAGCCCTGTGAGGGGGCAGCGTGCTGGGCCTCCACCTCCCACTGAGCAGCCTCCCAGCTTTGTGGAGGCCAGTGAAGACAGGACCCAGCTCTCCCCCACCTCCTGACATTACTCTTCAGAACACACAGGCCATCTTCATAGCAGATCACTAGGAAGTACATGTTGTTGGATGAATCGTTCAGCCCAGAGGCAGCAAACTTACAGGGACAAGAGAAGCCAGTGTCTGAGGGCCCCTGAACCCGAGGAAGTCCGAGGGTGCTTCTCCCTTCGCCCTGAGGTCTCCAACACTGTCCTGCAGGTCAGGGGTGGAGGGAGACCCGTCTCAGCAGTAGGTTTTCTCCACCCACTGTCCACTAGCTCCAGCTTGCTGGCAGAGTGCAACTGGACAAAGAAGGGCTATTGGATCCCCTGGACAAAAGCTCCTGGGTACTGTCCCTCCACGGCTGGAGGCCCAGCCCGTGGCTGTTCCTGTGTGGGTTTCTGTTCCCTGAGCAGGTGCCCCCTTTGGGCCCAAGTCAAGGCACAACCGGGAGTGTTGCCTCACTCAGGCTGACCGCGCCAGGCCCCTGCTGAAACAGCGGGAGGGCGGCGCTGACTTGCCCCACTGCTGCCCAGAAGCACAGCCTCCTGGCCTCGGTGATGGCCCCTGAGCCACTCGGGCCAGCAAAGTCTAGCTGGCAGCGGGCCCACACTGAGCCTGTGGACAGGAGGATTGGGAGCCTCCGTCCCACCACGGCAGGCTTGTAATTGGCCGCCACGGTGATGTGATTCTGACCTTGGCGCTTGTCAGAGTGTGTGTGTGTATGAGAGAGAGAGGGTGAGGTCAGACAAAGCACTCCTGTTTATTTGGCGTGGTGAAGTACAGCAGCTGAAAAAAAATCATTCCTTTTAAAACAAAACAGCCCTGACCCTGCAGTCACACTGTCATCACCACTGTCCCTGCTGGACCGGGGTGCAGTCGCCTGAGGGGGCCGCAGCGCCTCACCACCTGAGGGCCTGGCTTTGGGGCAGGACCTACGCAGGGCTCCCGGGGTCGGCCTGACTCACCTGTGTGACGGAGCCTTTGCTTTGCTTCCAGTGTCCCGATGACGGAGATGCTCATGACAAGTCCGTGTCCCTAGTCCCCGCACTGGCCTCGCCCGCCGGGCCTCCCTGTGGTGAGTGTGACAGCATGTCCCATTGGCTTCAGGGACAGCTATGCCACCCCTTACTTGGGGTACCCCCATTTGCCATGCATGTCTTATCAGCTGCTGGGGCCCCCTTTGTTTCATAGGTCAATTATTAGGACACTTAAAACGAGCAGCCTTTCCCTGCTGGGATTCTGGCTGCTGTCGATTAGCTTTTTATCCCAGTTTAGTATTTCGAACATTTTTAAAGCCACAGTAAATAGCCTTCATCTACGTTATGGCAGTTACATGTTGTCACTTTGGTTTTTCACATACACACACGCGTGTGCGTGCACACACATACCATATATTTCTTTGTGTTCAGCCCTGACTGCTTCAGGGACCTCCCGGCAGCCTCGTCCTCTTGCACAGGACTTCGAGCGGATGGACCCCAGCGGGTGGCCACAGCCCGTTGTTCCCAGCGATGTCCTGCATGGCCTCCTTGCTGGTTTAACAGACAGGGTCCGCCCAGGTGTCACCCACACCTCATTGCCTCCTCTGGAGTCCACTTCCATTCAGTGGCTTTCTGCAAGGGCCCTGGTTTTGCACTGGCCTGAACTCGTTTGTTTCCTCGTGCTTAAGTTCACGTCCGACATTTTTGGGTAAATACTCCATAGGTGTTGTTGTGCTTGTGTCCTCAGGACCCCGTCATCTGTCCCCTGGTTGGTGACACAGCCTGGTGCCGAGTTAGGAAGCTCTTGCCCAGTTTCTCACCTCACAGCATTGTTCTGGGAGTCACCTGTGGGTGACTTGACCCCAACAACCTCTGTCCCCCGGTCTTGAGCATGGCTGAGGTGGTGCTGGCGAGCCAGCCCTGTGCTCCTTCTGCGTGTCTCCATCAGCCATCTCATCTCCCTCCTTTTTTCTCTTTACATCCCCACACATTTATCTTTTCACTTTTCTGGGATCAGCGAGAAGTTAGGACTTTTTTAATTCACATGGTCGAAGCCATGCCAGCATTGGGCTCCATGCTCAGCCTGGGGGAGCCCCTTGCATGCTGAGGAAACACCTCCCCACCCACCGTAGCCACTCCCCCGGGCTGGGTGTCACCACCTATAATGTACGTAGCTCGCACAGTCCACGCCGCCGTTGGTCGAGCAGCCCAGAGAAGCTGCAGAATTGTGCCTCCCGTCACCACCCTGCCCGGCAGTTTGAAAGGTCTCCAAGCAGCTCTTCTGCCTTAGCATGCCCAGCGTCTCGTGCGCAGGGTTGTTCAGGTACATACAGTCAGGCCCGTCTTTGCGGTCTGTGTTCAGTTCTAAAGCTACCCCTGTCCTTATTGGTTCCGTTTCATTTCTGTCATGATATAAAACATTTCATGGGATGGGACAGTCAAAACTGTCTGAAGAGGCATCTTTAGGAGACCCCCCCCCCCCCCAAACACACACACCCCCACACACCCCTGGATGAACAATGTCATCATTTTCTGGTCTCTAACCTCTGACAAGCATCCACCTTCAAGGAAAACTTTTGGAAAGGCAGGTGAAGAGCAGCAGTTTGATTTTCATGCTAGAAAGAAATCTATGAGGAAAGTCTGTTCTCAAATATTTGCAGTTTTTTGTTTTGTTTCGGTTTTTATTTTTTGTACTGCTTAGAAGAAAGGCCTTACAGCGTGCTCCTGTCTTCCTTCCCCTGGTCTTCGCATGTGGACAGATATGAATGGTAGGACCTCACCCTTGTGTGTTTTCTCCAGGACCCTGCGGGGGCCCAACCCACCAGGCTTCGTCTCCTGGAGAGGGCCCGCCCTCACGTCCCTGCCCAGTACACATGGCCATCGTGCCTCACAACGACAGTCTCTCCTTGCAAGAGGTCAGCGGCGACAGCTTCTTGAGCAGCCAGGGCTGTGAGGCCGACATCTGCAGCGCGACGCTCAGCGACCTGTACGAGGGCATGCTGCACTCCATGAGCCGGCTGCTGAGCGCCCGGCCGTCCTGCATCATCTCCACCAAGACGTTCATCCTGCAGAACTGGGGCTCCAGGAGGAGGTGGAAGAGCAGGGTGAACAGGTCGGCCTGCCAGGGAGGCAGGCATGCCGGGAGGGGCCCCCGGGAGAGAATATCACCCCCTTCCGAGCCGGGGCCAGGGCAGGGAGCCCTGAGAGACTGTGGGAACCTGCTGTCCCATACCGGCCCCAGGAGAACCATAAGGCCGGGGAGAGCTGCTATCCAGGGCTGCCGGCTGAGCCAGCAGCCAGGTGCTGCGGGCAACGAGGTGACAGGGGCACTGCGGCCATACTCCTCCTGGACTTTCTTAGATCCCAGTGCCGGGCGGCGCCTGGATCAGGAGAATAGATTTATGACGTTAAAGTGGTTAATTTCTCCAGTGAAAGTGGTTTCCAGACCAAGAATACTGCAGTGTGAGGGAAGAAGTCATTGCCGGGAGATCGAGGTCAAATTCGAGAAGCTTCATCGGGAATTTTGCCGGAGTCCTGGGAACCAGCCCTGCCGGGCTCTCCCCCCGGCCTCCTCGGTGGTGGACGTGCCCAGAGGTGGCCCCGAGAGTCCTGGAGGCCGTCACAGCCTAGGGACCCACCAGCCCGGCACACCCCTCGGGAAAACCAAGGCAAAGAGGTTATGTGAGGCTTTCGAGAGCCTGGGCGGAAGGCCCGCGGGAGCAGGTGGCCCCTCGCCGCACACCGCGCCAAGCCCGGGCTGCCCCAGACGCCAGTCTCTCCTCTTTCAAGCACGCGATCTCGGACGGCTCAGGATGTCGATGTCACCCACCAAAGCGCTCTCGCTGCCCGGCACGCAACTTAGCTACGGGCGGGCTCGCTGCAATGAAATTAAAGAACAATTTGACAAACTTCATGAAAAATATCAAGCAAAGTCTCCAGAGCACACAAAGGCACCTCCGAGGCCAGGCACGTCTCTGGGTACGGCAAGGGTGGACGTCCGCTACCAACAGGAAGGCTCCTCCAGAAAGTCAAACTCAGGCTCCGGCTTCCCGGAGTCCCAAAAGTGGGCCCCGTCCTGGTGGAGCCTGAAAGGCCCGCTGTGCCCAACTCCCATCGAGGTGCGGCCCTTGGCGTGGTTCGCGGCCAACGCCCGGGGAGACCCTCCCTGCCCTGCAAAACGCCGCCGGTTGTCGGACCCTCAGGTGTGCGGCCGCTGGACCAAGGCCCCGGATTCCTGGCGAGTGGCGAGCGGGGCCATCCCGAGACCAGGGAAGGAGGGCCGCTCCGTGGAGCCCGGCCTGGAGGAAGCAAAGGTGCGTCCCTCTGTCGGGTGCGCGCGCGTGTTTATAACTGGACTCGCGTGGATTCTCCGAGCTCTCGCCCAGATTCCTCTCCTCCCTCTGCAGTCAGCCAGGCAAGCCCCCGCCCTGCGCCAGCCACATCCGGGTGGAGCTCAGAGGGGTCTCCCCTGTCTCACTGGCCCCTGGAAGGCCTTTGGGGGTTGCCGAGACGCCTCACTGAGCGTGCACTCGCCGCCCCTGCCCGACTCCTGTGTGGCCTCCGCCACTCACCCTCAGGAAGCAGCCGTGAGACACCATGACCTGGAAGGAGTACTCTGCTCGCAGGGTGTCCTGGGAGGGGCAGAGCACCCGGGGGGCCCCAAGCTCCCAGCTGAGCTCTGGCCGTGGGGCTCATCTCTGCCCACCCCCATCTATCTGTGCAGACCACGTAATTCCAGAAACTCCAGGTTTGGCTTTGGTGCATCCATTTCCATGCCCAGCACCTCCCGAGAGCTGGCCAGCAGCAGGCCACAGACCGCGAGGGGATGCGCCCTCCTGTCTAGGAGCCCCGGGTTTCATTGTGGGGACGGTGACAGGCAGCACCCCTCCTGGGGTCAGGGCTGCAGGGAGACTGATGGGGGCCTTTCACCAAAGCAGCTCAGCCCAAGGGCCCCCCTGAGGCTCCTCCCCCGGTGCCTGGACAGCTCCACGCCCAGGTCCTGCTGTCCCTGCCCGTCCACACCTCAGCCTGGCACACTCACCCCCTCCTGCCAGTGCCTCACACTCCCACCCTGGCCCCACGCCTCCCCCAGTTTGCTCTCCCTCCCCCAGAGCTGGCGAGTCACGGTGGCCGCCCCAGAGGCCTTTGGTGGCTTCTTAGAGCACAACATCAACACGTGGCCATCCTCCCCACGCGCCGGGGCTACGGAGGGAATCTCAGTGGCTGGCGTCTCAGTTAAGTCTTCGGCCTGCCTAGGCATTGTAGTGAGATTTGACCGAAATCCCTTTCTTTTCCCCTAGAGGAGAGAACCACACGTCTTTCAGGACGGAAGAGAAAAGTGAGTTTGTGCGGGAAGAACTGGCAGCTGGACATCTGCAGCCGAGTTGCTGGCAGCGCCGTCCCTCCGCCCCTCGCGCGTGTTTTTCTTCTCGCTTGGTCTTTAGCGCTGAGCGTGGGTGAGGACTTGCTTCGCTTCTGCCCACCACAGCGGACGGCAATGAAATCGCTTCCGCTGAGATGACTCCGAGCTCTCGGTGTAGAAGTTATTTGAATAAAGTTGATCAATGAAGACGCGCCCCTGCTGCCCTCCACGCACCCGGTTTCTCGTGCCCCTTTAAATGTGGCCTGTCCCGCGGGGTCTCCCTCACCGAGGCCCTGAAGCCCTGCCGTGAGCCCAGGCAGGGAGACGCGGTGTGTGGCCTTCCAGGGCCCAGCACCCTCCGCGCGAGGGGCCGCCCGATGCCCAGCTCACTCGTGACAACTGCTTTCTGGCGTTTTTAGGCGTAAATGGCGGGGACAGTCCGTGGGGGCCCGCGCCCTTGGCCGTCATGCAGGACAGCGCGGTGACTGGGTGAACTACCGGATACCAGGCCCCGTGACAAAGCCCTGGGACCGGCCGTGCTGGGTCAGCTGTTAATACTTTGCCACAGGGCGTGGACTTTTTGTTTTAAATAAAAGGTCAGAGGCAGGATGAAGTCGCCGCCCGCCTGCCCCTGCAGTGACGGGCCTCATGCTCGCGTGTGCTGCACGTGGATCGGCCACATCCCTGCCTTGGACTCCCCCAGTTATTCCCCAACGGCTTTTGCCAACCCCAGTCCACTTTGCCCTCTGACCGGCAGGATGAGGCCTGTGTCCCACGTCACCACCACCCGTCGGCGCCGCTGGTGGGTGCACATGGATCAGTTTGAGTCTTCCCGGGGTGCGGGGCACTCTCTTCACTTTGCTTGTCACTGCCGTCAGTTTCCACTGATAGGCACCCACCGAGCTTAAAACGCAAGTCACTGCTACCTGCGATCAGGCATTGAACTGCCATTTCTGATACTGAAGTTACATTTTTCACCGGGGACTTGATCCTTCCTTTCTCGTTTCTGCTGTCATGTTTTAAAGAAAACTTACTCAGCCCGAAGGATCAGAATTACTCTTGCATTTTTGCTTTTCAAGCTTAGGTCCATAAACCATCTGGAGCTGCTGTGCATGGCATGAAGGGAATCAGACCCAGGGGGTGAATGCCCGCCCGTGTCCCCACACACGTGCTGAGCGGCACAGCCCTTCCCCGGAGCACGTGGTGGCTGAGCGTTGGCGCTGCAGCGCTCTCCGTCTCTTGGCAGAAACAGAGTCTGTCCGATCCAGGGGAGCCACAAAGCAGCCGTGGCCGGGGCCTCTGGGCAGAGCCTCCCCCATAGGGCCCAGCAGAGGGTGGGAATGGTCTGCAGGACCTGTCGGGCTTTTACCTGATCCTGGACAGCTATCCCGCAGGCAGTCTGTGTGGGGAGATTTCCTGCTCTCCTGTCCCCTCTGCCTGTTTCTCAGACTTGGGGCTCACATCTCCTTTTGACCTCCAGGTTCTGTTCCAGGCTTCACTGTAACATCCACTTGCACTTTAATGGCTCCAGGCCCTGAGGCTGGGAAGGGTGGCGGGGGCGGGCCTGTCACTTCCTCCCTGAAGCCCTCCCGGATACCTCCAGGCTGGAGGAAGCTGCCATCAACTGGGGAGGACTGAAATGCCAGAGAGGACGAGGGTAGATTTCTGTCCTGGCTGAGAAGCTGTGACGTCCACACCCCTGGGAAAGCGGGACAAACATGACCGGCGGAGTCGGAGTCCTCAGCCCTCTATCTTGGCTCTGGGGTGTCAGCATGATGGGGGGAGTCAGAAAGCTGCACTCCGAATGGCAAAGGAGGTTTATTTCAACTGGAGGATGGAAAGGGACAGTCTCTACTTTAGAACAATGCTTTTCATACAAACTCTCTTAAAAACGGTTTGCGCTGCGGTGGCATCCGGGCCACCTAGGAAGCTTCCTCGGCTGAAGCCAAAAGCCACAGCTGACTGCAGGTGTCCAAGGTTTTGAGAGTGTCCAGGGCTGCCCTCCGGATGCTGGGATCCGAGTCCAGCTGCAGCTCCTGGAGAGCTGGGAGTGAGCAAACAGGGCAGAATCAGGACCCCCTGCGCCCCACATGCTGCTGGAAGCCAGGAGGGCGCTTGGGCCCAGGGATGGGGGTGGTGGCGGCTGCAGGCTTGGACCTGACCCCCCACCCGTCACTACTGTCACCGGCCCGGGGAGCTGCACGGGTCCACTCATCACCCAACCCGTGCCTGGGGCCGAGCCCGCGCCCGCAGAACCCGGTGGCTGTGTGGACCCTCAGAAGGAATCCAGGCAGAGGGGCAGACGCCACAGGGAGGACATGGCTCCACAGTCAAAGAGCCGTCTCTCTGGAAAGCCCCCCAAAGGGTCCCCCCTGTCTGGGCCTGAGCCCAAGCCAGGGTCCCGGGGGCTTCTCCGCGCTCACAGTCCCGCAGCGCCGGCAGGTCCAGCCTCCTCAGGTACTGCGCAGACAAGTGCTTCAGCATGATTCCTAAACGACAGCCAGCGCGGCGTCACCCCAGAGGTCAGCGGGCGGCTCGGCTTTACCCATGAGGGGCTCAGCTCCGTGACCGAGGACCACGGTGGACGTCAGGCAGCTGGGGAGCCCGGGGCGGGGCCGACGGGAGGGCCCCAGCGCTGGTCCTGTCCTGCCACCGCCCCTCCCCTCAGCAACACCTGCCCACCCTCACCTGCCAGGTTGCAAGAAGCGATTCTGATTCTGGACAAGCTGCTTTTAACGTACGTCATTGTCTCCAGCAGGAAGCCGTAGAGAACGGCAGGCTTCTTCTGAGTCTGCAAGAAACAGGTGACAGCCGAGCCCCGGGGACGAGGTCCCGGAGGGGCGACGTTTGTGACCCGCGTTCCCACCTGGTGCGGGCAGGGCTGCCCAGAGAGGGCAAGTGCCCATCCCAGTGTCACACAGCACGTTAGTAACTGGGCAATACGAGGTCCTTGGGGGCCTGTGACCGCCCGTCAGGCCTCAAGGGGAGGGTGCATCGCCCTTGAGCATTGAAACAGGGCCAGCCACTCCAACGAAGGGCAAAGTGCCTCCTAGACTTTGGAGACAGTACCCCCAAAACGGAAGCTATCACGAGCAATTTCTATATTTACTCCATCCATGTTGAAATGACAGTGATTTGATAAATAATCAAATCTGTCGGGATAAATAAAATCTAGTGTTAACTAGGCTTGACTTGCCACTTATTGTGACTGCCAGGAAACTCAGAAAGGGGGTGTGACTTGCGCTCCACTTCTGTTCTGCCCTCGACGCCACATCTAGAGATTATGTCGGGTGACAGCAGCCGTGCCCCTAGGCCCCAAGCCACCCGGCAGGGCGCCGGACCAGCCGCCCCGAGCTTCCTCACCAGCACAGAGCACAGGGCTGTCTGGAAAGCCGTCAGGTCCTCGGCCGAGCTGGTGTCACTGTGGCTCCTCGGTCCCTCCAGGGCCTTCCAGCCCCAGAAGTGCAGACACTGAAACATGGTAGCTGTGCAGGCCTGCGGGACACAGGGCGGCGTCAGGTGGACCCAGGGCTTCACTCGAGGTGGGGCTGCTGTTCCCTGAGCCAGAGAGCGGCCCTGGAAGCTTCCTTTCAGGAAGCCATGGACGGGCAGGTGGGTGGGCCCAGGGCCTGGGGCCTCCACATCATGGCTGTTTAGCATTTCTTTATAAACGGCCTCTGGGGGGCAGCACTCGCCCCCTGAGCCAGCACATCATGCCCGCAGCAGCCCAGCCTGGGACCTGCTCCCCAGGGAGCAGGGTGGGAACCCAGGTGCTGGACTGGGCAAACCCCTCAGTCCCCAGAGCTGCCCACCAGCTCTCCCCATGCAGCAGCCGAACCCCTGCCTCTGTCTTCTGGGGCGGGGGGGTTCCTGGGTGGGGGACTGAACGAGGTTAGAGGGCAGGAGAGAGGTTGGGGAGTCTATTCCCACGGACAGGAAAGACAGACGCTTTGGCCCTGAGCTGCCTCCCCTGTGGTCTCCTCTGCCCCCACCCCCTGTTGTGGCCCCTACATTAAACTCTCCCGAGCTCCTTCCTGAGGGACAGCAGGCCCTCCCTGAAGTCCCCACGGGGGACGGATGTTGCCAAAAGGTGAAAGGGCTTGTTGGTGGTGGGGAAATGAGGGTTGGTGAGGAGGGGTGTCTCCTCAAGACACCTCCTGCCCTGGTCCCAGTGTCCCCCACGCAGAGCCGGGCAGGGAGACGGGATGAGAGCAGAGCCGGAGTGCAGGACACCCCTCTCCTCCCCGCGGACGCCACCTACACCGCCCACCCTCACAGTAACAGGACTGAGGGGGCTTCGCATGTGACCCCACAACGGGGCTCAAAGGCACTCGTGGCAAATGAGCTGGTCGGCACCCCTCACTTGGGGCCAGCTGGACCCTCTAGGGCACAAGAGGTGGTGGCAGAACCTCTCTACTCCCAGCCACGCCCCCACCACCCCTATATAGGGAAGACAGGTAGGAGGCCAGGGCCACAGGCCCGCAGGGTTAGACAGGGCGTGGGTCGCCCCCCTCCCACCCCAATGCAATAGAGGAACGGGGCTCCGAGCAGGGAGAGCCAGACACCCCCCCTGCAGCCCCCACAGCCTGCCCCTCAGTTGGGGGAGGGGGTGTGAGAGACCCCGGGGCAGCTTTACACATGACGACGTCACAACACGCGGAAGGGACTGGAAGGCCATCGAACCTGGCAGAGGGGGAGGGAGACGGCGGAGGCGGTGGCTGGAGAAGCCAGAAGCCCTGCCTTGTGCCCCCAGAGCCAAGACTCCGCCACAGGCCAGGGGTCCCCTAGAAAGGCCCTCCCCACCCGGCTGACCTGACAGTGGCCTCTGGGCCCCCAGGAAGGCGAGGCAGGCCAGCCAGCAGACCCCAAGTCTACTCTTTTGGGGGACACAAAGAGGAGGGGTGTCTCACTTGGGCCGCATCAGGGGAAGGGTCCTGGCAGTGCAGCATGAGGGCCACCCAGGCTTTCTTCACTTCCTCCTTGAAGAAGTACTTCTTGGAAATCCTGACCACCTTCGCCAGCTTCCCGAAGAGCACGAAGGCTCGGAAACGCAGCAGCTCGCTCTCCTGCGGCCGAGACGGACAAGCGAGTCCTGAAATTCGGGAAGCCCCGGGCCTAGCACAAGCCCAGCCGGTCTCCGTGACCGCCCTGCAGACGCCTGGGCCCCAGCGAAGCTTCTGGGTCATTCATCCTGATCGTCTACCAGGACGGAGCCTCCCCTGCAGGGCGCGGGGGGCGGGCGTGATGCGGGTGTCCGGGACCTTCCCTGCCCAGGTGGCGGCTCGCGCTGGGTCTGAAAGCCCCCCACCGCCCCACTGCCTGGCGAGGGCCCACCAGCACATCACGGTGCCCAAAAGGACTTGCGGGCTACAAGGAACTCCAAGGGGAAGCTGATTCCCCAATAGCAGCGGCCCCAGACAGCTGCGTGCCGCGGCCACAGGGCAAGATATTACTTCACAAGGCCCCAGCACTGGCCACGGGCGCACCAGCTCCAGGCCGGACCTGCGGCCTCTCTGCCCAGAGCACATCTTTTCTGTAGGGAATAAGCGCTCGCCGGCATGTCACCCCACACCCACGAGATGGCTCATATTATTAAAAAGCCCCCCGACAAGTGCTGGAGAGGACGTGGAGAAAGAGGGGCCTGTTACACTGCGGGTGGGGACGGGACCCGGGGGAGGCCCCGGGCGGAGCAGGGCTCCCGTCTGGACGCACGTTGTCGAAGAAGGCCCTGCACCGCTCGGAGATGGCGTCGAAGAAGCAGCCCATGTCCCCCTCCCGGAGCTGCGCCAGGATTTTGGCCAGGGCCTCCATGCCCTCGGAGGTCACGCTGGTGCTCCCCGGCTCCCGAAGGGAGCACAGACACTTGTCCAGCAAGAGCTTCCGGTACCGCCGCACCTGGGGGCACGAGCTGCCATCAGCCCCCACCTGGTTGGCCAGAGACGCTCCCACCGGACCCCGGGTCCCAGCTCAGGGCGGGGGCAGCACCTTCTTGGGGGCGCCGAGGGCCATGTTGCCAAGAGCGCGCAGGGACAGCACCCGCAGGGCCTCGTCCTCCTGGCCCACGCCCCTCTCCAGCAGCAGCACCGCGGGCTTCAGCAGCTTCTCCTGGTACAGAACCGGGTGGCTCATGAACTGGAAAAGAGAACTTTGCAGTCACCCACGCCGAGGCCCGGCTCTCGGCCAAGAGGGGGCGAGCGGTTCTCATGCCTGGAGCCGCCTGTGAGCGGGAGGGGTGCCCCTACGGCCGTGGGGCCCCACCTGTCCCTCAGCCCCCGGGGCCTCCCCTCTTCTGCAACACAGGGGTGATGCTGCCTCCCAGGGATCCAATAAGAAAATACGGAGGAAATGCTGGGTAAGCGTCGCCCACGGGTCTCGCATTCATTTCTTCAGCTAGGGTGAGGCGGCTGGTGCCAGGACGAGCCCGCGCCGCGCCCCACTCCGGTGTGGGAACAGAAGTGCCCGAGTTTCCCTGCCTGGGGCTCAGGGCGCCTGGAGCCAGATGCTCACAACGTCAGGCCCTCGGCCCACAGGGAGAGTGAGTGTGTGTGTGTGTGTGTGTGTGCGCCGTGCACACATGCACGTGCGTGCACACATGAGTGTGTCTTTAAAATAACCCTAAAGAAAACCACCAAATTGGTAGCTTCGACAAGGAAGCTCTGCCACTGGATCCTTTAGGGAAAGGCCGCGCTGGACTGAGGTTTGGTTCCGCTAAGAAAAAAATAAAATAAGAAAAGGAAAAAGGCCGCCGCTCCCCCAGTTCGGGGCCCACCCACCGGAGCTGGGGGGCGGCTGGGGCGGCTTCGGGTAAGCCGGGCGCGGGGGGCTGGGGACACAGCCAGGGCCCCCCAAGACGGGTCACGGCCACGCCCAGGGCTGCAGCTCCACCAATCACCGCGCGGCACGTGCATTCTTTCCACCAATCAGAGGTGCACTGAGACCCTCATTGGCTAAGCCCCGCCCCTCTGGCCTCGCTAAGCCCCGCCCGCCGTCCGCGCCGCAGGTTCGCGCCCCGCTGCGGGGTTCCGGGCCGCGTGTTCCGGGCGCGGTGGCCGCTGTGAGGCGAGAGGCTGCGCGTCGTGCAACCAGAACGCGTCTCCCAAAAGGCGTCCGGTCGACTCCTCAGGACCCCCTAAGCGCCCCGGCTGCGGGAGGGGCGGCCAGGCCCCAGGGACCGCACCCGCGCCGGCCCCTCAGCCTCCCCCGAGAGCGCCCGCGCCCGGGCCCCAGGGGCGCCGAGGGTCCCTCTCCTGGGGTCCGCGCGTCCCGGCCCCTCGCGGGCGCCCCCGAGCCTGGAGAGGAGCCGGGGGAGCCGGGGCCCGCGCCCGCCTCACCTCCACGCAGACGGCGGCGCTGCTGACGCGGCAGCTCAGGTCCTCCGAGGCCAGGCCCGCGAGCACCAGCTCTGACAGCCGCTGCCGGTGGCGCCCCGCGAGGCGCGCGCACAGCCTGCGGAGCCGGGGCGGGCCTCTCAGCCAGGGCTGCGCTCCTCCCTAGACGGCCGCCCGACCCCCAACACACTGGGCCCCTCTCCTCGCCCGGGGTGGGGGCCGGTCGGGTGTTGCTGAAACACCCTCCATCACCCTCTCGTGAAAGGGGCCGGAGTGAAGCCCCCTGGACGTGACTCCTCTGCGGTCCTGCCTCTGGCCTCACATTCCGGCTCTGGAGCAGCGCGCGGGGAATAAGTGACCCCCCCACCCCCTTGGCCTGCACATGCCTCCACCCCTCAGAAGTGAGGCATTCAGCCGCCACCTGGACCACCCCCTTTCTCCCAGCAGGGAGCTGCCCCCACCGGCCCTCAGCCCTCCTGGGGGCACCCGGCACCCACCTGGCCAGCAGGCCCACTCCCTGCAGGAAGGTGGAGCTGCCCTCCAGAAGGGCCCACACGCCCTGCTCCTCCAGGCTCTGCACCAGCTGCTCACTCTTGAGTCTCTTAAACAAAAGCTGCATGGACTTGATCGTGATCCTGGAAGGAAGCGGGGCCACGTCCATGAAGCAGCGGCCCCGCTGGGAGCACCCACCTGGGCGGGCTCAAGGGGCTGGGGGCCGTCATGGGAGCGAGGCGGTCTGCACAGTCTGGAAATCATTCTGGACACACGAGGGGGTTCAGAAGACCAGCCAGGAGGGCGTGAGGAGGGCCGCTCGGTGGAGGTGATTCTTGGACTCCCAGGGCCGCGTCCAGCCCAAGGCCCAGCCCCGGGCACCTCTGCAGGTTGATCTCCTCGGGCAGGGTTGCAGTGTGGACAAGCCTCCAGGTCTTCAGGACCGGCGACGCGGCCTCCGGGCCCTGGCCGCTGCTGAGCTGCAGCAGGAGGGTGTAGACGAGGTCCGGGAAGAGGTCCAGGAGCTTGTCGTCCACGTCCATCTTTTCGATCAGGAGGTGGATGGTGCAGAGGGTCTGCAGAGAGAATGGTGAGAGGCATGAGGGCCTCTCCTTGGAGCCCCCAGGAGGCCTGGGCCAGCCCCAACTCACCATCAGAGGGTCCACTGCAGCCAGGCGCCAGATGTCCGCCTTGGAGGTGGCGCTCACCCGGGGCGAGAACCTCACCTGCAGCCGGCCCATCAGTCCGTGGAGCATGGCGCGGGCAAAGGGCACGTTCTCCGCCACGGCCAGCCACACCTCCGTCAGGTGGCTGACCAAAGACAGGACAAGGCTCGGGGCTCCTGCTGTGCGCCTGGCAGGTGATAGCCCCTCTGGACCCGAGTGGGGACTGGATGCCGGAGGCTGAATCTCAGGGAGGTGGGGTGAGCCCCCGAAGGTTATGTAGTGAACTCCCATGCAGCCATTCTGTGGCACCCCTGGGAAAACCACAGCCCCTTGGGGCGCCCCAGGTCATGGCTTGGTGACCTCAGGGGGCCCCTGCTGTCTGATGATATCATGGACACTGTCCAGCTGTAGAGGTGGTATTGCTTCCTCCCCCCAGCACATGTGAGAAGTTTTGTCCCATCTTAATTCCTCAGAAGAGGCGACGCGGCTGCCTGGGGTACGCTGCCAGACCGCCGTGTGGGCGTCCTGACCCCCCGCCCCGTCCATCCTGTGGCCCTGCTGGCAGGAAGGGACCTGGGGCACACAGGGAGGTGAGTTCTGTGGGCTCTAAATGGACAAGTCCAACGAGATCAAGCTGAACAGGTTAAAAATCGTGAGGGCTGAAAGGAAGGGAGAGCGCTGGGCCTCCGAGCCCGCAGCCACTGGCCAGACACAACCACGTGAGCCCCAAGACATGAAGCGGGGTTAACCTTGCTCTCAGACGCTGAGATCACAAAAGAGCAGAAACCCAGCTCACCTCCCTGAGGCTTGCTTTTGCAGACACAGCAAAGCATGAATGTTTATCGCTGACCTTGAGCTGCGCCCCAAGGTCAGCTAGAGCTGGGAGGCACTACTGGGGGGAGGGCGACACCCGGAGGGGAAGGAGCCACCGCCGGAAATTCAAAGCTCCAGCCACCTGGGAAAAGCCTGTTCACACGTCTCCCCCCCAGATAACTGCCCTGTGACTAGCCCGCTGGGGGCTTCCCGGGGGGGGGGGGGGGGGGGGGGGGGGGGGGCGGGGGGGGAGCAGCTCCGCGGGGGGACCCCAGCCCACGCTGCACCTCTGTCTGGGATTTTCTTTTCTCTGGTCACAGCAACTTTTTGAAAAAGAGGCTTAGATAGAAAAAAGAGCACGTGTATACGGAAACATCTCTCCCCCGGACTCAGAGACAATCAATTTTCAGCCTTCAGAATAATAAATGCACTAAAACAATTCCTACGCAGGAAAACTTGCTTTCTTTTTCAGCTTTTTTTTTTTTTAAACAAATCTGACTTTATTTTTTATACTCTATGATTGTGGCGCTCAACTTAAGGCTGATTTGATTCGTATAAGCTAAATTAGAACAAGAATTTCACCGTAGGTGTTCGCTTACGGAGATGCCCTAACAGCTCCCAGCCTCTTAAGGTAGGACCCCTCCATCTGCTGCCCCCCACAGGCTCCACGCTTCCCGGTGCAACTTGGTCTCGGCTGCTCAGGAGACAGCTGCCTTGTCTTTCGGGCCCCTCGCCTGATGCCTAGGGTGCCACCCCAAACACACACCCCTAATTGGCTGAGATCTCACCAGCTGCTGGTGCAACACGGACAGAAACACGGAACTGGGCACTGGTTTGGGAAACGCGTGAGGGGAGGGGCGGCTTCACGATGAGGCCCCCCCGGGGTCTGAGGCTGCCTCTTGGTCCCCTGGGTGCCTGGCCCAGCGCTTCCCTTCTCAGGGCTGCCCCTGAGGGGACGAGAGACAGCGGCCAGCTGGGTGCCGCGGCCTGTGGATTATCCTGGAGCAGCCCAAGTTTGGGGGCACCCCGAGCTCCACCCTCCACAGGGAAGGAAAGGGCGGCCACAGAGAGAGGGTGGAGGGACGCACCCAGACTTGTGAGAAGCGGTGGGATCCGGATCCCTCCCACTGTCCCCAGGGCTGGGGCCTCCTGCGGGACACACAGGGTATCTGACCCGCCCGAGGGTCAGCCCGGGAGTGACCAGCCAATCTTCCCCGACACGTCGGTGGAGGCGGGCCGCCCCGATCTGCACCGCACAGGAGGCATAGCCACGTCTGGGCACCCACCTCTCCATGGGCAGGGGCTGCCTCAGGAGCGACGTGAGCACGGTCTCCTGGTGGTAGTGGGCCAGCAGCAGGATGCCCTCGATGAGCAGGCGCCGCACCTCCAGGTGGTCCACGACGGGCAGGTGCACCAGGATGGCGCCCAGGATCTCAGCCACCTGCAGGGGGGCAGGCGTCACCCAGAGCCCCGTCCTCGCCGACAGCACCCCTACCTCCAGGACTCTGGTCCAGCGACCCCTGCAGCACACCCTCTGGGGTCTCCCTGTGCCAGGCAGGAGGTGGCACCCTCTGGAGAGCGAGCCAGGTCCACCAGCCCACGGTCCGCTCGCCCACCCACTCCCCTCAACTCGTTTCTTCCTCTTTCTAATTTGCTACCTCCTCTTCTCGACGGCCAGGGGGTGAGGAGGTGCTCTCAGCAAGCGCGGCTGGGTCCTCACCCACCCCTCCAGCAGCAGCCCCGTTCCCTGCCCAGCCCCAGCCCCCCCCAGCCCTCCACCCCCAGCCCCGGACACCCGCCCCAGCCCCCCACCTTGTCCTCCAGCTCCTTGGCCCGCATCTGGAGGAAGGTGCCGACCCAGGTGACAGAGGCCTTGTCGTGCTGCAGGTCCACGGCCCCGATGTTCTCGCAGAGCTTCTGGATGAGCGAGACCACCTCGTCGCAGTTGAACTCCATGCACGCCACCTAGGACCAGAGCGGCCGTCCCAGGGTCCTGCAGCCATGGCAGGCCCACCCCGCCCCTGCCTGTCCCCGCGGCATCCCCTGCTCTTCTGCCCACAGCGGGGCCCCGGCCCTGCAACCTCTCCCTCCTGTCTCTCCATCCCTACCTCAGCCGTGCTCAGGCGCACCCCTCCAAGCCCCAGGACTCAGCTGGCGTTCGTGTCCTCCAGGTGTCACTCCTACTTCTCCCCTTATCACCTGACCTGAGCCCCACACAGAAAACTCTACCCCAAACCCTCCCCGTCCTGACTCCTGTGCCCTGCAGCACCCTCCAACCTTGTCCTGCGGCCCCTCCCCTCCCCCCAAGGGACTTCTGCCCCAGCAGGACAAGTAGCCTCCTCCCTGCAGCCCCAAGAGGCTGCGAGGCCTGGTGAGTGGTCAGGGCACCATCAGCACGATCTGTGCCAATGCCCGCGGGCAGGGCCCGTTCCCCCCTCCCTCAGGGTAGCGTATCACAGAGACAGAGGCAGGCGGGAGACGCCCTGGTGGGGACTCCGCACACTGCAGACCTGTAAATGGAGGTGATACAAGGAAACCAGGACCCCCAGAGGAGGATGGGGCTGTGCCACCGGCCTGAGGAAGGTGCCATACCCGCCCGAGATGGCCCAGACTCCCCGGGACCAGCAGCCCACACAACCTTTCTGGCTCATCACCTTGGCGATTCTGGAGGATGCACAGAAAATCTTGTCCGTGTCCGAGCCCTGAAGGTCCTCCCTACATTTCACCAGCTCCAGCTCCTTGGACGCGCCCCATGGGGAGCAGGTCTGGCTTGCTGTGGGAGCCCAGGTCCAGACCAATCAGCGAGGTCTCGGGGCGCCCTCCTGCCTCATGGGCCCGGACTCTGCAGCCCAGGCCACCCTCTCGAGTGCACTCAGGGGTTCCTCTCTCCACACACACCTCCCACAGAGCTCAGATGCCTGCTCTTGGGGAGACCCTCCTGTGACTCTCTGCGAGATGCCAGGCCAGAGGCAAGCCCCCCTACAGGAGGTCACCACAGTGCATATCCCAGAGCTCATCTCTGCCTAGTTCTGCCTCGTCCTCGGCACCTGTGAGCTGACCTGTCCCAGAGGGGCCCTCAGTGCCTGACACTGCCCTCAGTGAGTCGAACTGACCAACAAAGCTCTCCTTCCAGAAGCTTCCATGGCGCCTCCTGGAGCTGGGCCGCCCTCCACCCCTCTGGTGCTCACCCTGGTCTGGGTACTCGCCTGCCCGCTCAGGGTGGCCACACCCCCAGCCAGGCCAGCCCCACTGCCGACACCCTCAGCAGCACCTTGGCCTGCTCCAGGCCCGTCCTCCCCGTACCGTGCAGGTCTAGCAAGCTGGACAGGATGTCCATGGAGGCCACGCGCGTCCTTCTGTGAGAGTCACAGGTGCAGGGGGCAATGAGCCCCATCAGCATGCCAAACTGTCCCAGCTTCAGGGGGATCTGTGGGACCGAGACCCCCGCCTCACCCGGAGCCATTCACAAGCAGCTGCTTCTGCCCCAGGGGCCACAAGAATATCCTGTGGCGAGGGCAAGCCCTGCTCTGAAATCACCATCCAGGAAGGGGGAGGTCACCACCACCTGCCTCCTGCCCACCGTGGTCCCCGGGAGGCCAGCAGCCAGGACCACCGACCTGCCCAGGGCGCATCCCTCCCACCACAGGCCCAGGCCTTTGACCAGGTGCCTGCCTGGCTCCGTAGGTGAGCCCTGGCTTCAGATCTGTGCTTCCCCTCACGGCGTGTGACCTGGGCAGGGATTTAGCCGTGGGCCTGGTGTTGGAGGCATGGATAATAACAGCATCTCCTCCTTCAGAGAATCCAGGAGCCACCCAGGGTGTTCACACAGGGCCCGGCATGCAGCCTCAAAGGTACCTCCCATTCTCTTGAACCCCCTCCCCCCAAAACCAGCTTGTCCCCATCCCACCCCAGTCCAAGACAGAGGCCCACCCGCCCCCTCGGGACACCTCCATCCTGCTGCCAAGGCCATCCCCACAGGCTGCGTCAGTGTGGGGAGCAGGGGAGGGAGGCCTGAGAGGTGTCCTGAAGGCGTCCAGAGTCGGTAACGGAAACATTCTGTGGCTTTTCTAGATTCCATGAGGTTTGAGGTACTTGTCATGATTCATTTTCTCTTCTAAGTAGATATGCACCCTCCTAGCTGCGCCGTGTACCGACCTCCCTCCCCACAGAAAAGTCACACCCGTCTGTCCCCTCCAGCCCCCGACAGCTCAGGGCTAGCCCCGGGGCAGGGGCTGGCAGAAGGGGGAGGCCTCGCCAGTCCCAGCTGAGGCTGCCTCGTCCCCAGGGACTTGGAGCGGTGGGAGCAGAACTCGATTTCAGAGACGTTCCCTCTCCTCCGGCACAGAGACAGGAATTTCTCTGCGGGTGCTAGAGCAGCAGAGTGGCGACCCCGTGCCCCCCACTCACGCAGACGCCGATGCTTTGGACGTAGAGCTGCACGAGGTGGAGGTGCAGGCGCACGGCCTTCTCCCGCTCCCACTCTTTCTCCGACAAGATCCACTTCTCCAGGAGCTACGGGGAGAGGCCAGAGCACAGACAGGGCATGAAAATCCAGGGCCGGCCCTTCCCCGGTCAGAATATGATGCCTCCCTCCCACTCAGAGTCTGACTATCAGTGCTCCCACCAGGGAGAGGGGGCTGTGAGCAGCGAGGGAGCACCCCCACATCTTCAGCAAGGGAGCACGCTGGCTGCAGGTGAGCACAGCCCACCCTGCTCTCCAGGGCCTCCATTCTAGCTCCTGAAATCCACGCTGGGCACTACCTGAAGCAAGAGCTGATAGAACTGGAAGGAAAAATAAGCAAATCCACAGGGATGGAGTTCAGTGCATCTTTTTCAGTAAATTAAACAAAACAGAAAATCAGGAAGGGTAGAGAAACTTGAGCAACACTGCCAAGCAGTGGGGCCTCGCTGATATTTAGGAACACCACGCCATGCCCCCCACAGAAAACTTCCCATGTGCACACAGAGCATTCACCAAGGCAGACCCTAAGTGGACAGCACACTCAACCTGGCCTTTTTTTAAAGGATTCAAAGTGGAATCCAATTAGATTCAAAACCAGAAAGCTCTCTGGAAAATCCCTAAATATTCAGAAATTTCTAAATAACCCAGGAGTCATAGAAGAGGCCTAGTGAGAAATTAAAATGTATTTTGAACTGAAATAAAATCAGGACAGGCATATCAATACTCGTGGATACAGCAGCAAGAACAGTGCCAGTGGGCTCACACTATCTGCTCCTGATTGAAAGTCTTATTCCAATGTGGCAGTAATTAAAGCAGGAGGACACTGGTGTAAAGAGATAGACACACCCGTGGAGCAGAATGGATGGCCAGAAATAGACCCGCACATACACTGCCAATTGATTTCTGACAAAGATACAAAAGTAAGTCAATGGAGAAAAGATAGTTGTTCCAACCAATGTGCTGGAACAATTGGCTAGTCATATGCAAAAAAGAAAAAAAATTAAATATACTGTGATCTATACCCCACACCACATACTAAACGTATCTCAGAGTAGACCAATTTATAAAACCTGAAACTACAGACAACCAGAAGAAAATCTTTATAACTTTGGAGTTGGCCAAGATTTCTTAGCTATGACACCAAAAGCATGATCCATAAAAGAAAAAATGATAAATTACACTTCAGCATTTTTAATTTTAAAAATTCAGCTCTCCAAAAGGTACTACAAAATTAATGAAAAGATAAATCAAAGACTTCGAGAAAACCTTTGCAGATCATATATCTAATAAAGGACATGCATTCAGAATATCTAAAACCTCTGAAAACTCAATAATAAGAAAGCAAACGCCTCCCCGTTGGCGCAGCGGTTGAGCGCTGGGTTGGGAAGCTGCCTGCAGCCTCTGCAGCGCCGGTTCGATCCCCGGCTGCTCCCCGGCCACCGGAGGAGGGTCCCACATGGCGCGCAGACCTCTCCTGTCTCGCCCGCTGCTCCCCTCAGCAGTGTCCTTCGGTCCTTCTGCCTGCTCTGCTCCCCGCTCTGGCTCTGGTGAATTCTCTCGCCCTCCCGCGCTTCTGACTGTACCCAGTGCTTGTGTAAATAAATAAATAAATGAATGAATAAATAAATAAATCTTAAAAAAAAAAACAGCACAAATTAAACAAACAAAAATAGTCAGGACCCTTCAAAAATATCCAAGTTAGGAAAGACAAAGAAAGACTGAGGAATTGTTCTAGATTAAAAGAGTCGAAAGGGAGATGACAGCTAAATACGGGCATCATCCAGATTAGATCCCGGTGGGCACGGCAGCTCTAAATGATGTTATTGGAAAAATAAATGAAGACTGAAGATGGACTCTCCAGCAGGACACAGCACTGTATCAGCAACCCGCTTCCTGATTGTGATCTTTGGTTGTTATATCAAGGATGTTCATGTTCCTGATGTCTGCAGCTAAATCTTCTGGGCTCAAAAGGGGTGTGTGTGCGCGCGTGTGTGTGCGTGCGTGTGTGTGTGTGTAGAGGGGACAGAGAAAAAGACAGTTGGCAAAATATTAAGAATCAGGACTTGTGAATCTGGCTGACGAAGAGCGCACAGCTCTGTGTCGGGCCTGACTTCATTCAGGCTGGAGGTAAAAGCAGGGCACCCCTGTGCAGCTTGGGTCCTAGGGCGGGGGGCGCTCCAGCCCACTCCATGCAGCCAAAACCCTTTTTAACTCATACTCCCACCCCCCTCCAGGAGACTTACATGCACCATGTCCTGCAGCCCCTTGGGGTCCAGCTGCCGCTGCATGAACCCCCCCATCAGCTGTTCCAGGGCGCGCAGGGCATTCACATGCAGCGTCTAGGCCAAGAGAGAAGAGAGCGGGGCGGCCAAGACAGGCACGCGGTCACCCTCCAGGACTCCGCGGGGCGCACACCAGGGTGGAGAAGGGTGGGCTGCACCGGTTTGTTGTGCTCAGGCTGAGTTCTTTCCAGGTATCTTCTTGAGCAACAGATCAGGCAATCTCTTAAGAGGAGCCCATGTTACAGAGAATGAAAATGCATTCCCAGAGCCTAGTTCTCCTGAATCCCCGTCCAGGACCAGGACCTGCAGGCAGAGATATGTCCGCAAAAGACGTGTCCTCCTTTTCACGGAGTTGCTGGGACCGGACCATCCACTCTGGGACTACATTTCCCAGCACCCCCTGCACCTTGTGGAGCCATGTGACTAAGTCCTGGTCAATGAAAGGTGAGAAAAAAGCTTCTAGAGCCCCCATGTGCCTCCTGCCCCTCTCCAGGCTGGACATCGGGGTCCAGAGGGACCTCACGAGCTAAGCATGGAAGGTGAAGGCGCCTCTGTCTGCCCAGGGTCTGAGGCTCTGCGGGAAGCCACCCCAACCCCCACTGCCAACTGGACTTTGCTTGAGTGAGAAACAGGCTTTCATTTTGTTAAACATTGGATATTTCAGGGTTTATTTGGTTGCCGTTTTTCACTTTTGCCACCACTCCCACCCTCTCTCCTCCCCGCGCCCTCAACCTCAGTAGCCTCCAGCTTTTTAAAGTATTTTGCTTTGTCCAATTGTCTACTCTATAAACACCCGATATTTGTCTTTCTGACTTGCTTTACTACAGAGTTTCCTCCGCATTGATGTAAACAGGGACAGTTGATGTTTCCCAGCAGCTGACTAGAGTCCCACAGCCAGCTAGACCACTTCTTCTTGAGCCAGTGCTCATCAGTGGGCACATGGATTGTTTGCACGCCCTCAGGGTTTACCTGTTACAGCAGGTAGCACCTGCCTTGCACTTGCTCAGGGAGCCTGCTCTTCTTCGCTGCTGCCATCACTCAGGACTGGCTCAGGAAGGCCCTGCCCTTGTGGATGTGAACCTCCCCGTCCTGACCAGGAAATGACCAGTCTGACCTACCTTAATGGATTCATTGTCCTCTGCTGGGGGCGGAAGAGAAATCACAGAATGTATGCTGATGTCCGTCAGCTCGCTGCTCTCCTCTGTGGAGTAGAAAGGCCTCAGTTTGCTGGGAGAGAAGCAGTGACAGAGGCATGGTCAGTGGGGAGCTGAGCCCCTGCCACCCCACTGCCCAGTCCAGGGTGTGAGGTCATGTCATAAAACCAGGGTGAAGGGCCTCCCTGGTGGTGCATGGGGTTAAGACGCAGCCTATGAAACTGTCCGCAGCCTCTGCAGCACGAGTTCGATCCCCGGCCGGCCAGAGAGAAACCCACATGGCGCAGCAGACCTCTCCTGGCTCGCCCGCTGTTACCCTCAGCAGTGGATTTCAGTAGACCCTCCTGTTCTGTTCCCCACTCTGTCTCTGGTGAACCCTCTTACACCCCGCACCTCTGGCCTGCACCCCAGCTCTTTTATGCATAAATAAATGAATCATTAAAAGAGAAAAAAAAAACAGGGTGAAGCCAGCTTACCTGGGATTCAGGCACACCCCTCCTAGGAGCCCAGCCCCACCTAATCACCCAAGTCCAGTGACCGTGTCTGTGATCTAAGGACAGAGCCAAGGTACAAGGCCGTCTCTTGCCTACCTGCGGTTGCCTGCTCTGAACCCTCTCCTTCTGGGCACGTCCCCTTCTCCTCCCTGACCACACCATGGATTCTGCCTCCTGGCTACTCCTGGCTCAGGGCTTTCTCCTGCCCAGGTGGTAGCAGCCGCACCTTGGGGCTAAGTAGGAATGCAAGTTCCTCAGACTTCACAAATCCAAAGCTCTGGGGTAGAGACTGGTCCTGTGAGTTTTAATAAAGCCCCAGGGAGTACCTGGCTGCCTGGCTTGTCATTCTTTTTCTAGCCCCTGAGTCCAAGTTCTCAAGCCCCGTCACATATTAGATTGGACAGCCCCGTGCCATAGGCCCTGTCAGGCTACAGGGACCGTTAGGTGAAGGTCTGGGGCAGGACCAGGCCGCGGTAATGAGCTTGGTTGGCTTGTACGTCTGGAACAGAGAACACCACTCCCCTGTATCTTTCAAGGCCTCCTCCTCAAAGGGATCCCATATTTCACCCCACAGGGAACTCCAGGTCAAAAGCCCAGGTCAAAAGCAGGATGCCAGCTCATGCCCCAGGCATGATACAGACTCAGCCACACTTTGCCAGCAACCCCTTTTCCTGCCTTAGATTATATTCTTTTCAGTTCTCTGCGCAGCCTCAGCCTCAGCCTGTAACTCCATTAGTACGTGATCTTCTCATCACTGAGTCCCTGAAGGGATGTAGGGGAAATTCACGACCATCTGCTGGCGTGCCCTCCCCAAGCCACAGTGGTTCTGCTGGGACCTTGACAATGAATGTGCCCCAAGAGTGAAGTTTCCTGTAGCCGCCCCAACCACTTCAAGCACAAATTTCAAACACAAACACTTAGTGTCTCCCCACTCCTCGCTGGTGGATGGACTCTTCCAGAAGCACCCCCAGTTCTACTACTTTGCATTAACTGGAGTGACACCGTATCAATGAATGAATACGTTGATCACATTGAGCCCAACTGGGAGGAATTTCTTGCTCTAAACATTCCTGTGTGGAGCAAAGAACAGCGCCCCCACCCTACCTACCTCCCCCCCACCCTACCCACCTCCCCCCAACCTCCTCCTTACCTCCCAACCCAAAGGGAGGAAATAGTGCCTGTTGCTGGGCGCACTGGAGAAGAGCTGGCAGATACAGACCCCACCCACATCTGAGGACGGCCCTTTGCCCCAGAAGCTGCCACCTGAGACCCTACAGAGGTGGGGTCGGGGTGCAAAGGAGGTACAACCCCCCAAGAAGCACTGGGGGTGGTCTCGGACATTGCCTCTGCCGGGGAAGGTGCCAGGGCAGGCAGGAGCTCACCTCAGGTGCATCAGGGCCTCCATCGCCATGGTCCGCACGGGAGATACCAGGGTGTCCATGGGTTCCGCCTTGATGATCGCCTGCCGGGCACACAGGGCAGTGAGGGCCGGGCACCCGGGCCCTGGCCAGGCAAGGGGAGGGGCCTGTGGTCGATGGCGACTGTAACGTGGCAGGACTTCCCAGTCCCCGAGGGCTGACTTCGTATCGGGTGTTCCAACAGCCACGTTGCTTCATTTTTCTGAAGGTCACCTGACTTTGGTTTGGGGGGGCAGCAAAATCTGATGGGAGGAGTGGGATTCAGGAGGGTCCTCTCAGGTCTACCGTCCTTGGCTGCCTGTCCCGGGGCTGTGCCCTCCCGCGGGGGCTGTCTCCCAGGGCCGTGCCTGGCTGGTGTGAAATCACTTGGACGGGTCCTGGCTCGGAGCTGGAGCCGAATGCAGGCTGGCTTTCTTCCAGAAAACCTTCCTCCCGTTGCCCCCAAGCTCTCGTCCCTCAGGACGGCTACCACAGCTTCCAGGGGCCCAGGCACCTGGAGGCCTGGGGTTGAAGGACTGTGGCTGCCCCGCAGGCCCGTGAGCCCTGGGAAGCGTCTCGGCTTTGGGCAGCTGGTGCGCTCTCGGTCTCACCTTGTTCCAGGCAAAAATGGCTTTAAGTCCTGCCTGCAGGGGATCCCTACCCACTGATCCCACCTAAGGAGAAGCCGGCCACGCCGGGGACAGCAGGGCTCGGGGGTCCCGGCTCTCGGCTTCCAAACTAGTCCTGGCCTTGAGCCCTATTATCAGACACAGCAACGGCTGCAGCTGGGGTGAGCCAAACGGAGACGGGGAAGGCTTCGGAGCCTGCGGGAACCCCTCATCCCTCAAATGCCCTCAGGAACTCTGAAGACATCAGCCAGAGGAAACCAAGTTGGACCCCAACGCCTCAGGACCGAGGAAGCCCCCAACCTGCTTACCATGATAATGCCCGTGAGAGTCGCCTTTTGGGAAAAGTGGAAGTCCTCAGGGTCCCTGATGTTCTTAATGGCATTGGTGACCTGCACAACACTCTTCATGAAGGCCATTTTGAGGCAGATGTCCTGTGCCCGGGCAGAGTGGGGAAGGAGCATGCTGTGAGCGAACCCCAAAAACCCTAGTCACAGCCCCATTCCTGCCAGAGTCAGGGCTCTGAGACGGCAGCCTTATTCCATCCTTCAGCCACATGGCAGGGGTGCAGGCCAGGACCTGGCACCCCAAGGACCTTGACGTCTCCCCACGCCCCTCCCCATGTCAGCAGGCACCATCACTGGCCAAGAAATCCAAGCTCCCGGCGCCGCCAGCCAGCAGAATTCGTTATTGAGATAGAATCGCTTTTGCCTTTTTTGTTACTTATGGTGTGTGCATCTTACCACAAAGTTTAAAACAGTCAAAGTAGAGGCCTCCCTGGTGGCGCAGGGGTGAAGACATAACCTATGAAGCTGTCTGCAGCCTCCGCAGCCTCTGCAGCACGAGTTCGATTCCCCAGCCAGCCAGGGAGCTACCACATGGCACGGCAGACCTCTCCTGCCGCGCCCGCTGCTCCCCTCAGCAGTGTTTTCAGTCAGTCTGCCTGTTCTGTTCCCTACTCTGTCTCTCAAGAATCCTCTCACCCTCCACACCTCTGGCCTGTACCCCAGCTCTTGTATGCATAAATAAATAAATCTTTAAAAAAAAAAAAACAGTCACGATAAAATAAGCTTTGTTTTATTCTCTGTTTTCTCTTTGCCGTTCTAAGAAACCAGCCAGTCCTTTGCCCCTCCCTGCATGAAGCTGAAGTCAGAGGGACCCCAGCAGCCCACGACACACAACACTCATCCTCACGCAGGAGACCGACCTTGCTGGAGCCAGGAGGCTACAAACGGAGAGGAGAGGGCTGCTGGAGATGGGGCTCCCCAGAAGGGCGGAACACCAGGTATTTGAAGAAAAGCCTCTCGTGCTTCCCCGCGTAGGAAGGTCTCTGAACCAGCCAATGAGCTTCCACCAAGTCCACCTTCCTTTGCTCTCAGCCAACAAGCTTTAACCCCTTGGTTTTCAGCCTCGGTCCCCCAAACCTACATATCCTCGTTCCCTTGCTCAATCAAGGAGGCAGATTTGAGTTCACCACCTGCCTCCTGGCCCACAGGTTTGCAATAAAACTTCCTCCTGTCTCCAGCCTGGGGCGGCCCCTGTGCAGATCAGGCCTGGGCCGTAGCTTGGTAACCTGAAGACACCCACGTCCTGTCCCCTTCGGGAGGGCTCAGGCAGGGGGCAGAGGAGGTGGGGAGAGGCAAGGGCAGAGAATGAGTGAGGTTGAGATGCAGGTGCTCATCCTGTGAGGTGATCTTTTGGGGACTCATGCTCCCCCCCACCAGCATCTGTGGAAGGAGCTGCCCCCACTTCCACAGACTGGGGCTCCCCCAATGCTGCATGCTCCTGGGGCTCTCCACCCACCTGGTCAGAGAGGGTGTCCCTTGGCCACCGGGGGTGGGTCTGCGGCCCCCAGAGTCACCTGGCAGCTGCTCGAGTAGTGGTGGATGATCTTGGCCATGATGGGGCTGTCCAGGTGGGCGAGGAGCACCTGTGGGAGGCAGTGCGAGGCCACACAGCTGTACATCACCATGAGCGCGCTCTTCACCGTCTCTCTCCTCCAGGGATGGTCCTTCTGCAAAGCCAGCAAGAAGGGGAGAAGCTCCAAGCTGAGGGGTGGCCAAACTTGCCCCTCTGGGAGGGAGTGGGGTGGCCCCCCACGGTGGAAAGCTCTGGTCACAAAGCCAAAAGAGTCTGTGAGTTGGCTGAAGGGGTGTACAGACAGCTTTCCGGGTGTCCAAAATCTTCCTTCCTTTATTCATTTGCCGGACACACCCTCATGAGCTCCCCAGGCCCCAGGCAGCGGGCAGGTGAGACACTGTGAGGCGTCCACCCAGCAGACAGAGGCCGAGCCTCACTGGTTGTGAACAAGTGGCTCACGTGGACACACTAGACAGGTGGCCTGCGTGCCCTTTCATGCAGTACCTGCTCCGGGCCAGCAGTCATGGTGACACTGGGGACAGACAGCCCTGGTCATGCTGTCTTGGAGGAGGTGCCACCAAACCCACCAGGGAAGCTGGCAGGGGCTTGTGCCCTGCCAGGCCTTGAGTAGAAATGCAGGTCTTTGATCCCACTTTGTGGAAAAGCTGGGGCAGAAATCTAGAAAGCCCTCGTTCTCCACCAAACTGCCAGGCCCCCAGGGAAAGAGTTGGAGGTCAAAGCCAATGCCTGAGGCCTCAGTGACTTCAGGTGGTGGCAGGGAGGGGCCCTCTGGAGCGCTGCTGTCTGCAGAACAGGGTGTGCTCCCATTAGTAGGGCTGCACCCCCATCAGCAGAGCTCCCACCTGCAGAAAACCTGAGCAATTTCTTCAGATCCAGGGGAGCCAAGGGAGGCCTGGGACTCTGCGTTCCCCCCACCACCAACAGCACCCCGCAACTAGTCTCAGGAGCCCACTGTGAGTAGCAAGGGGCTGGAACCCCTTCGCCAGTAATATCTAGGCCCTGAAAAGGCCCACTCTGTGCTGTCGATTGTCCACCAGCAACAGCTCTGCCAGCAGGAGCCTCCAGCTGTGTCACTTGGTGGCTGGAGATACAGATCTGGCATGGAGCCTGCTGGGGTGCTGGGAGTTCTGTCCTGAGAGGCCCTGGGGACCCGGCCACGGAGCAAGGGCCCCTACCCGCCAAGCGCCAATCTGCCAGGACTGCTCTGACTCCTGGATCCTCTCCTCGAAGTCGTGCAGCACTTTCAGAACCGTCTTCACCTGGCCCCGGGCACACAGGCCGAAGCACTGAATCACGCCCTGTGAGGACCAGGTCAAGAGCAGGAGGGCAGCAGAGGGACCCTCTGTACACATGCACACATACACACATGCACACTCTCACGCACACACAGCTACATGTGGGCATGCATGCATGCACGGGCACACACATCCGTATGTGCACACATGCATGCACACACACACATTTACTCTAAACACGTGTGTGTGTGTGTGCTGGGCACGTGTGTGCCTGCACATTTGTGTGTGCACAGGTATGTGCATGCACATGCATACACACCTGCATCAAATGCACTGGTACACACAGGCATTTACACTCACACACGCGTGCAACATATCCGTGCCAGGACCTGAGGGTCCCGAGGGCACGGGCAGAGCGGAGAGAGCTGTGGCACCCTCACCTCCCGGTCAAAGTCATTGCCGTAGTCGGTCTTGTACAGCAGCTCCAGCAGCAGCACCTCCACCTTGTCGGCCTCCAGGCCGGTGGCCAAGGTGAAGCCCAAGGCCCGGTACAGGAAGCCCTGGAGAGGGGGAGGGACAGAGGGAGCTTCAGGCCTCCTGCCTGCCCTGCAGGGCTGCCACAGTGCGGCGCCCTCAGCCGTCCCGAATGTCAGAAGCCGCGTCAGACCTGTGCACTTTGGATAGTCTTCAAAATAAACATTCAGGTTCCAGTGGCCTGGAATGCGCGAGGGCAGGCCTGGACAGAGTGGCCTCCACCTCCCCTCCTGTGCAAGCTGAAGCAATCTGCACCCCGCTGACAAGTCCAGGGGCAGGACACCGAGTCCTGGCTCGCCTCGTATCAGCCCACAGACAGGCTGGCCGTTGCATAGTCCCGTGAGCCCTATTTCACCGCTGTCTGTAGTCTGTTTTCTGTGGGTTGTTTTCCTATTTTTTTGATTTGTAGGAACTTTCCGTGTTCATTCAGAAAAACAGCAAGAACAAGCACGTATCCAAATAACCCACGCGACTCTATGAAGCCAATCTGCTTATTGTATGGAAGTTACTTTTCACTGAAGTACCCCTGCCTTGTAACTCTAGATACGTTTCAGGTCTTCATGCCTGAGAAATCCCGGGTCTGACGACTATTACATGCAGAGAGGAGGTGGCAGGAAGTGGCGGCCGGCGCTGAACTCCAGGATAGTCGAGGTTCTCTTCTTAGCGATCACATATGACGTAATTTGACAAGTAAATCACTCTTAGTGGTACATTCCCCAATATCTCGCTTGTCTTTTGATTTGATTTATGTTTTATCACCCAGAAATTTCTCATTTTCATTCTTTCATGTTGACTTCTTTGTATGCATTCAAAGCCTTCTTTCATATTAAGATTCTAAAAATAGTCAACAATATTTCTGTTGTTCCATGATTTCACGTCATTTTTACACTTACGTCTGCAACCTGTGCGGTGAGAGCAAATCCTTCCTTAAGGTGCTGGGTTTTCATGACACTCTTAGCCCATCTCTTACATTTACTAGTTCGGACGAACTTGGAAACAACCTTAGCAAATTCCATAAAATTGTTCTATTTCCACCAAAATCTTCTTTTGGAATTTGAAAATGGAGCGTATCGCATTGCAGATTAATTTGAGAAAAAGGGACAGGATTGTAACAATGAGACTTTCCAACCAAGGACGGGAGGAGTCTGTCTGACCAGGGCTGCTTTCAGTTTCTCTGCCTTGTAATTTTTTGTTCTTCACGTTGGTTCCACGTAGCTCACGTATTCAGTATTTGGGGATTATATATTTTACATTATATTGCTACCTTGAGTAGGATCATTTTTCGGTGGTTCATATTTTTGTTCTATTTACGTATGTAGGAAAGATAATGAGATTTTCACATTAATTTTGGAAGGAAACTGTCTCCTAGGTTTATAGATTGCCCACCCGAAGGATACACACCTGGGAGGTGCTCAGTGAAGTTTCTTAACTTGCTGTATCCACTTGTGCCTTTTTAAGTTGCCTGAGTCAATAAAATCCTTTCACCTATTTCCTTTCCTTTAAGAGAGTTATTGCAATATGGTTGAACTGTGTGCTTAGTAAATAAACACTAAGCAGATATATGCAAGTGGACAACTGACCTTAAATTGACATCTGACAAGATTTCTGTCCTCCAGTGTTTAGTTATAGATGATACCTGCTTATTTTGCATACTCATCTATAATAGGTATATATTTGAACAAGCACAATTTTTAGTTGATATCCATAAAGCCCTTTATTTTATTTTATTTTTTTTAAAGATTTACTTATTTATTTATACATACAAGCACTGGGTATAGTCAGAAGCGCAGGAGGGTGACAGAATTCACCAGAGCCAGAGCGGGGAGCAGAACAGGTGGACTGATGAAGTACACTGCTGAGGGGAGCAGCGGGCGGCAGGAGAGATCTGTGCGCCATGCGGGACCCTCCTCCGGTGGCCGGGGAGCAGCCGGGGATTGAACTGGCGCAGCAGAGGCTACGGGCAGCTTCGCAACCCAGCGCTCAACCGCTGCGCCACCGGGGAGGCCCTATCCATAAAGCCCTTAAAAAAAAAAAAAATCTTTAAAGTGAGATAAAATTCACATTCCATAAAATTAACTCTTTTAAAGTTTACAGATTCAGTGGTATATTTATAATTGTACAGCCATTATCACACTCTAACTTTAGAATATTTAGAATATTTTTATCACTTTAACAAAAGATACCTCATGCCCACTGCCAGTTCCTCCATATTCCCTCAGTCCTGCCAGCCACTAATCTGCTTTCCATCTCTTTGTATTTTGTCTATTATGCACATTTCCGATAAATGGACCCTTAGAGTCTGCGTGTTCTCTTGCAGCGGGGGTATTTCCCTTAGCATAGTGTTGTCAAATATTCCTTTGTATGGCTGAGTACTATTCCTCAGTGTGGATATACCACATTTTGTTCAGCCATTCATCCACCAATGAACATTTGGGTTGTTTCCACATTTTAATTATATGAATAATGATGCTGTGAACATTTATGTACAAATGTCTATTAATTTTAAGAGGGAAAATCTTTATTTTTTTAATTGTGTTTATTGAGAAACGTGGATGTACATTGTATATATACATATACATATATCTCCAGGGTATAACACAAATGTATGTTATCACACCACTTTCACCACCAAAGCCCCAATAATCCTCCATCATAGTCCATTGGGCCCCCTCCCCTTTTTGCTCCCATCTGCTCCACCCTCTTGTTCTGGGGGCCTCAGCACCTCAATCAGATTTCAAGGATTTGGTTTGGTTTGTTTTTATATGGCTTTGTCTTTGTTTTTTTAAAAGATTTATTTATTTATTTATATAAGAACCGGGTAGAGTTCAGAGGCACGGGAGGGTGAAAGGATTCACCAGAGACAGAGCAGGGAACAGAACAGGCAGATCGACCGAAGTACACTGCTGAGGGGAGCAGCGGGCAAGACAAGAGAGGTCTGCCTGCCGCGCCATGTAGAACCTTTGCCGGCCAGCAGGGATCGAACTGGCGCTGCAGAGGCTGCGGACAGCTTCATAGTGCTGCACTCAACCACCTGCACCACCAGGGGAGGCCCTGTCTTTGTTTTTATATTCCATACATGAGTGAAATAATCTGTCTCTTTCTGACTTATTTTGCTTAGCATAATCCTTTCCAGGTCCATCCAAGTTGTCTCATTTATTTTTACAGCTGAGTAGTATTCCATCATGTATATATGCCATATCTTCTTGATCCACTCATCTGTCCCTGGGCACTTGGTTTGTTTCCAATAGCTTGGTTATTATAAATAATGCTGCAATAAACAGGAGTTCATATAGTCCTTTGAATAAGTGGTTTTGTATTTCTTGGGTAGAGATCTAGGAGTGGAATTGCTGGGTCCACCATATGGTAACTCTATTTTTAATGTTTTGAGAAAACTCCATACTGTTTTCTGTACTGACTGAGCCAGTCTACACCCCACCAAAAGTGTCTGAGATTTCTTTTCTCCATACTTTTGCCGACACTTATTTCTGGTCCTTTGGAGATGGACCTTTCGCACAAGTAGGATGAGGCACCTCAGTGTGGTTTTGATTTACATTTCCTTGATAAGAGAGGATGAGAATTTTTTCATGTACCTATTGGCCATCTGTATATCTTCTTTGGAGAAGCATCTATTTAGTCCTTCAGTTCATTTTCTATTGAGTCAATTGATTTCTTTGGGCAGAGTTGGTTTTTTGTAGAACTTGGGTATCAGCCCCTGGTCAGATGTATCATGTACAAAATTTTTCTCCCACTCAGAAGTGTGTCTTTTTTATTTTAATGATAGTTTCTTTCATTGTGCAGAGCTTTTTAATTTGGCATAATCTCATTTGTTTATCTCATTGTGGGGTTGAAGTACATTGCCCGAGTGGTAATGATCTTGAGGAAACGCCTACTCTGATTGTCGATCTCTACCCCAAAGAGCCAACTGAGACTACGGTAGCAGAGATTGCTAAATATCTGTAAATCGAATTTGTAGATAAATTTGGGATGTGTGGTCATCTTGTACCAGCCCAGAATCCATGAACATGGGCTGCTTCCTTTTGATTGAGACCTTCTCTGGTTTCTTCCAACAAGGTTTATGGTTTTGCAAAGACCTTTTAAGATGAAATATACACATGTGGTCATGAGCCAGATCTGGATGAGTCAGGCGTATCTACAGACAGCAGCCTATCAGATGGGAGTGGAGACAGCTGGGAGCCCAACTCTGAAGCCCATTCTTTTATTTCCACTCACGCCCCATCCCCAGGTTTTATCTTCCTTACTGCTGAACTAGAACCCAGCAACCTCTTTTTCAACCTTCTGTGGTTCAGCGTCATCCTTATGATTTTCACTGTCTACCGAAACCAGTTCAGACATCGCAGGCCTTGCCTGTTGGGTTCTGCTATGAAGTTGTTAGGAGTTGGCACCTCAACTCCATCCGGAGTTCCCAAAGACCACAGATAACAAAAACAGGCCCTCAGGCTTACCGGAGAGGACAGTGATTGTTTTTCAAATTTGTCTTCCGTCCCGACCTGTGCCTCGGGACTGGCTCCAGAATACGCGTTGGAGCCCGAAGGCCTCGCACACCCCAGAAAAATCTGAACTTCTCTGGGCATCGGCCATCCCGGGTTTGAGACGTCTCTCCAAACCCCATGCCCCTGGTCGTCTGGCGCGTCCACCCGACACAGGAAGCTCAATTCCTAGTCGTCTGGCGCGTCCGCCCTACACAGGAAACTCATATATCAGGAATCAGATGTCCTCCTCCGGCCTAAGCCTTTCTCTGGCCACCTCTTGTAGTACTTGAGGATCCTGGACAGCCCCCAAAATGTTAGGAGTTGGCGCCTCAACTCTGTCCGGGGTTCCCACAGACCACACGGAGCCAGAGATGCAAGAGCAAAAAGGCTTTATTGCTAGCTTAAGCTAGGGCCCGACTCTGCCTGGATACTGACACAGCAGTCTCACCAGGTTGAGGGAGGGACCCCGATGCAGGGCACAAGGCTTTCTTTATAGCTAGTTGTCAGGATGTGTGGACTTTTCACAATCAGCACCGGGTCCACTTCTGATTGGTTGATCTGCCTGAGTTTCGTTAAGTTCTGTTTTCCCCGTTTTCTGTGGTCTCTGTGGTTTCTACACAGAAATGAAACCCAGCTGTGCCCTCCCTAAAATGGCCGCTGTCTTGCTCATCCTACAAAGTCATCTGGGAGAGGACAGTGGATGAGAAGGATGGGAAATTGATGGCTGCAGGAGAGATTCTCCAGCATCAATAAAACTAAAAAAATGAAAATCCACTGTTCCAGACCACACACCTCTCCTCCCCGGATGCCGTGGACAGCCACTGGTGCCGTTGGTTTCCACTCGCTGTCCCCAGAGCCCCCTCCCAGTCGGAACTGACCCACTGAACAACCCTGCCTCTGTGGGAACCAACCTTTTCCAGGGAGGGGCTGTCAAAGCTCTCGATCTGGTTGTTCAGCTCTTTGCTCAGACGCAGGCTCCAGTTGGAACCCCGGGTCCTCTTGAGGGAGTTTCTCAGAAACTGGGGAGGCACATGTTGGTGGCTAGTACCAAGGGTCTCCAGCCCTGGTCTCACCGGACTCCGGGAGAGCTGAGTGACCTGGAGTAGTGACCCAGCCTCTCCAGTCCCCTTCTGTAATCACTAGACCACTCAACCCATAAAGCTGCAACCCAGCGCTAATGCTGTATGGGCCTGTGGGTATGAGAAATGGCTATAATTTGGGGGCTGGTGGCAGGGGTGTCACTTGGCTCCCCAGAGTGGAAGGCTTTCTTGCCCCCTGCTGAATATCCCCAGACATGCCTGACATGCCCCAGTTCTTCTCTGATGGAATGAGAACAGGTCCGCTAGGGGATCCTAAACCCCACAATCCAACCTAGTGAGCACCCTCCCACGACCCTTTCCTTTCACCCTGGCCCCAGCAAGCTGGATCACCCCTTTACCTGAATCAGCTTGTCCTCCCAGGTCTTCTGATTCCAGGTGAACTCAGTATGTTCTGCAGAAAGAAAGGCCACATCTTTTTGCTGCTCCCGCTGGGTCAGCCCCCTGAGCCTGGCGTCCGAGTCCTCCCCTGGGCTGGCCGGATGTGCACTGCATTCTGCCCACCCCCTACTTCCCAGAATAGTCTGGGGGTCCACTTGAGCCTCAGCTCCTTTTGCTCAAGTCATGGAATAAGTACTCCAGCACCTCCCCGAGTGGAGAGCTAACTCGGGGTGTACCCCTCGGACCTCACCTTCCAGGTACTTGACCAGCAGCGGGATCTCCAGCTCCCACATGTCGGCCATGGAGGGCGCGATGCTCTGACTTAGGGTCCTCAGGAGGTTCAGCATGGCTATCCCTCGGCCCTCCCCCTTGTAGGGGGATGACATCAACACCTGGTGGGCACCCAGACTCCAGTGGGGCTGTGCCTGGGGCTGGGCAGCCTGGGCACCTCACTCCCCAACTTGGGGCCTTGTCTTTTCTTATAAAGGGACAAGGTGGGTGGTTTTCAAACAGAGCTCTGAAGACTCCAGGGTTGGAGAGCGTCACCGTAGAGGACGTTCCAGAGGGGAGGAGGTAAGACTAGGGGTAAGACCTTGGGCCCCCCACTTTTCTGTGGAGCACGGATTTAGACCCAGGGTCAACTCAAGGAGGTTGGGGCAGGGCACTGAGCCACCTGTGGGGCAGGCAGGCCATTGGTGTCTTGGGGATGCTCGGGGGTCTCCCAAATGCGGAGCAGAGGAACCTGGGAGCAGGTCCTCGCCAGGTCCCCGGGCGTCTGAGCACACTGCCCCTGCTGCATCCGCCCCAGAGGGACACAAAAAGCTCTGTGCTACCAGTGTCCTGCTCCCCCCTTGCTCCGGGGACTCTGGGGATCAGGAGTGCAAGGGAGAGGCCCTGCTGTCGTCTTGCCAGGGAGGGGCACTGCCCAGGTGGGCACTCACCAGCAGACGGGCCAGCAGCTTCTGCGGCGCAGGCAGGTCCACTGGGGAAGAAGGAGATGCCACCTCCCGAGCTGCCCCCGCCCCGTGCCAGGACCCGCCCCAAGAGAGGCTGTGACCTGGAAGGGGCTTCCCCAGCACCACCCCCCATCGCCCCGTGGAGAGTGGGTGCACACAGGGATCCTCCAGGAAGAACCCCTCTTCCTGACCTTCCCTGGGGGTGGGGGGGGGCCGTGTTATGGGCTGGGGCCTCGAGGGTGCTGATTTCAGGGCACGCCCAACTTGCAGGGGCACCAGGCCCCGCCAGGCAATGTTTGTGCCCCACTGGGACCCTTGGCTGTGTTGAGAGGACGGTGTTACACGCACGCCCACCTCCCTCGCCTGTGCCTGCGCTCTCCCGTCTCCCTCCCTCTCCCCCCCACCCTACAGGCTCTGGGGGACAGGTAAACCCACCGTACTTGGACCGGTGAGCAAGGAATGGCCGGGGCTGCCGAGAAGCTGGGGAGGGCACCGGGGATGGGCGGGAGAGGCCTCTGTCCCGCGCTGGGGTAGGGCATGAGGCAGACCCGGGGCCCAGCTGGCTGCTCAAACGCAGAGAGCAGGTCGGCCTTTGCCGTCCTGGACCCTGCAGGTGCCTCCAGCGCCAGCCCTGACGGCCCACGCAGCCCCAGGCCCGCGAGGCAGCCCCCTTGAAACAGCGCTGTCACCCCAAAGGAGGCTTAGTCACTCCTGAGGGACCCCGGTGGGGTGGTTTACAGAGGACTGGGCGGCACCTCCACCGCTCCACCAGCTACCTCCCAGGGGCCCGGAAGGTCGTGCCTGGCCAGAGGCCGGCCACGTCCCCGGCAGGCCGGGATCCAGACTGGGGGTTCGAGCCAGCAGTGGGGACACAAGGACCCAGCTGCCAGGAGGCACTTGCAGGATTTTAACCCCTCCTCAGATGTGGCAAGGGTGGCCTGGGTCCTGGCTGCTCCCCAGGACACCCCCCGAGAAGGGAAGGGAGGGGGAACGGGCCGCCCACCTGCCCAGCCCAGAGAGCCTCCGCAGGGCTGCGGCCCACCCTGTCTGCTCCTGCCGGGCGCGGGGTCCTCCGCGTCCTTGCTGTGGAGCTGGCGCTCCGCCAGGTTTGTGAGGCTGATGCAGATGGGGGTCAATGCCTCTGTGTAATCTGTCTCCATGATGTAGCACAGGAGCCTCACCCAAAAGTCCTGGGATGTGGGGGACAGGATTAGCCTCCCCCTCAGGTGTCGGCCTCCCTGATTCCTCCAGACCAAGCTCGACCCACCCATGGCCCTAGCCCCGAAAGCCCTGCCTGTCAGGACCACCCAAGGACACCCAGAGGATACAGCCAAGGGAGTAGCTAGTCCTGCCACCCAACCCAAGTCTCTGCTGGCTTCACCCACACACATCATCACGTCTCCTGGACTCAGTGCCTGCCCCTGGCCCCCATCCCTAGGGGTGGACACTGGCAGGTGACCAGCCGGGCTGGCCAACGGTTGCACTGTTTGTGTGTCAGCTTGGCTGGGCGAGGGAACCCGGCCTTCAAGCACACACTGATCTAGATGCGGCTGTGAAGGTATTTTGACCACGTGGTGAAAGGCCATCAGCTGTAAAGGAAGTCAGCCCCATAACCTGGCAGGGAAGGGAGTCATCCTACCAGGTGAAAGGGCTTAGAGCAAACTGAGGTTTCCCTGAAGAAGACATGACACCCCAAGATGGCTGCACCAGCGCCTGCTGCTTTTCCCGCAGACACCCTCGCAGGCGTTGGGTGCTCGCCCCTGGGCTGCAACAGGCCGTGCTTGGATATCCATCAAGCTGTGTGCGCCTCCCCCTGGCTCTGCTCTCTGGAGATGGCCGACAATCCCAATGCTCTTCCAAGTCACCCCCCATCCCCTGTCCTTGGACTATCACTGAACACCCCAGCTAATCCTGCCCCCTTTAGTTCCACCCTCACCCCTAGGAGTTTGGGAGAGGCTCCTGTGTTCCAACAAACATGTGCAGGTGCTGGAACTTTTCTAGCCACCAGGACTAGACTCCCTGCCACTCGGTTCCCCCAGAGACAAAGGCACTTCAATCCCAGATGCACCGTTTATCAGCTCCTGCTCTTGAGTAAATGAATGAGTCCCCTTGAGCCTGGGTTTCCTTGTCTACAAAAGCAGGGTAACAGTAAGAGACCCTACCTCAGGGATTGTTGGGCTAATTGAATGACACGCTACCTGTTGTCATCCTGGAACGGTACCCGTCAGATGCAGGAGTTGAGTGTAGCTGCTATTCTCAGTGTGTCCATGATTAAGACAAGCTGCTGCTGCTTGGGGACCCTCTAGCCCAGGCCCCCCTTAATGGACAATGACCCCACCTCCTGTGGTCGCAGTAAATTTTTCCTATCTTATTGCTGTGTCATGTGTTGCGGCAACTAAAACTGGACACATTCATTTCCCCGAAAGCCTGTGAACTACTTGGGGTTACACTAAGCCCTTCCAGTATATGCCTCCATGTCTTTCACAGAGTAGGAATTCACTGATTATGAAATTAAAACATTGAAATAATTCCTTTTTGGACACACACCTGGACTGAAGGGCTTTCAAGGTAATGGACACATCTAAGGCAATAAGTCAATGGATATTGAGGCCTACTACACCCCAGCATCTCAGGTGCTAAGTGCCCGTTAAGGACTCAGCTCTGCAACCTTATTGCAAAGGCTCAGAGCTCAGGTGACTGGAGGACTCAGCCCCCAGCTATCCCAGGTAGTGGGAACAGGTTGTAGGGGGAAGCACTGGTGCAGAATGCTGGGTGTGTACCACGCCCCCCGTGAGTACAGACATGAGCCGTCAGCTCCAGCATGCCAGCCAGTGGGCAGGTGGGTGGGGCTCACTCACGCTGGTCACCCCACTGCCAGAGGAGGTGATGACCCTCACGGTGTCCATGGTGACTTTGTGGACCATCTTCTCCTCCAAGTCCCTCTGACAGAAACTCTCCCGACGATTTGTCTGGAAGACAGAGTTGAGGAGTCCCCACTCGGGGGCTGGCAAGGGGCTCACTGGGATCTTGGGTGTGGTCTCCTCACTGCCCATGGGGCTGGACACCCAGATTCTGGGTCTCCAATGCTCAGAGCTGTGCGTGGGTTTCTGTGTCTGCTTGCTCCTGCCTGCAGCTCACCATGTCTGGGTACGGGTGTCCTGGGCATGTACGCGGCAGGTAACTGGTGTCCTGGGCATGTACACTGCAGGTAACTGTGTCCTGGGCATGTACACGGCAAGCAACTGCTCTCCTGGTGTACTCACATGCAGGTTCAAGCACGGAGCTCTAAGAACCATCCCCTCTCAATGCTTTGGAAACCACTTCCCAAGTCCAGCTGCCGGGGGTCTGCTATCAGGGCCACTCACCAGCTTGTAGGTGGACTGGGTCAGCTGCATGGACACATACTTCAGGCCCCAGCCTTTGATCCTGTCCTGGAAGCCAGACAGCGCCAGCTGGCCAATGATGCGGAGTATGGCCATCCTCACCTAAGTGGACAAGGAGGGCCGTGCTGGGCAGGCTGCCAGGCCCTGGGTGGGACCTGGAATTAACACTCCACTCTGTGACATGAGACAGCTAGGAATTGGGGTGCTCTGGGATGCAAGGTGTTTAGGGGACACCTGGCTACTGCCCACTCTGTGCACCACCCCATGTCTCATCTAGGAAGCCCCTCAGCAACATGCCCACCCACCCACCCAGGAGCCTCATCAGAGTCCGTCAGTGACACAGAGCACGTCCCGTCTGTGTAGCTGAGCTGTCCCCAGCAGCCCTGCGGGAGATACTGGACTCTTACCAGGATGGGGTAAGACACTAGGTGGGGTGACAGAAAACAAGGGGAGCCCTCATCCCTGACAGCCTTCTAGGTCTTGAGGGCAGCTCTGCCTGAATATCCGGCCCTCTCACCCCCATGGCCCAACTACAGCCCCCAGGGCCAGCCCAGAGTCACAACCACACCCAGGGTGGCTGCAGGGACCCTGTGGTGCTCGCTGTGTTGGGGGGTGGAGGGTGTCTTCCTCAGGGTCTCGCGGTGGGGACGGGGAGTGGGGGGGCTCCACCCTCAGGGCAAGATGGGGGTGCTGGGAGGGTTCCCCAACACCCCTGTGCTTCCCCAATGGCACCCCAGGGCACCCCTCGCGGCCTCGGCCCTGGTACCTTGGACCGGGTGTCAGAGAGGGTGTTCTTGACCACCCGGATGGCCAAGTAGATGGTCCTGATGTTCATCCTGGGTTCTGAAAGAGGAAACCCAGCCTGAAGGGCCACCGGCCTCAGCACTGGGCAGCGAGGAGAGGCAGAGCCGGGCGCGGACTCAGGGTTCTGCCGGAGCAGAGGGAGGTGCACAAATAAGCCCCTGCCCTCTGGGCAGTCCCGGCTCCCCCTCCCGCGGTGGCTGTCCCTGTCAGGCCTCCAACGCGCCACTACACACTTCCCTGAGAAGCGCCCTCAGCTGACGCGCAGCAGCACCCTCTCAGCCCCCACCACCTCACCCCTGCACCCCCCACCCACACCGAGGCCCCTGAGTGGGGGTGGGGCCTCGTGTTTAAGCCTTGCTCCTTTGGCCTTTGCGCTGTGCGTCTCTTCTGAACCCCGTTGGACGCTCCTGAAATGTGGGTCTCCACTTCAGCTGGGGTCACTGCGCCAGACACGCAAAGCTGCAGGGCACAGCTGTGAGATCCTGGGATCCAGGCCACCTGCATTCAACCCCGGCTCCACCACAGTCCAGCTGTGTGACCAGGGGTGGATTCCTAGCCCCGCTGGGCCTCAGTGTCCCTACCTGTACACTGCAGACAATAAAAGTACCTCCCTGAGAGCAGATACGAGCAGCTGTGAGCTAACAGCCCTGTCTCACAGGTAGTGCCCCCTGTTTGGTAGCTGTGGAGCCAGTGACCAGGCACCCGGTGAAGGAGGAAGATTAGGGCAAAGAGCCAAGAGAAGGTTCTGGAGAGGTCCATTATGGGTGCAGTTAGACTGAGGCGCTTAGGATGATGCTGTGCTCAGGGCTAGATGTTACCAGAAGTCAAAGCTGGCGGCAGAGAGGAAATGAGGATGAGGCACGGGTGGTGGGAAAGCGGGCACAGGGGAAAACATCACAATTTAAGTTTTATCTCCCAAGTGGTAGCATTTTTCAGATCATAAAAATGGTATTTGCTCACTACAATGTTAAAATAAACGATTGCCACTTTCAACAGTTTGGGTGTGTCCTAAACCCACGTGTGCACAAATAAGCACCTAGTACTTTCACGTAGCCACGGTGATGCTCATACCCCATGCGTTTCGTTACACAGGACACGGAGAGGGCAGAGTTCCATGAATAAATGCAGATGAGAACGCCCTTGCTGGCTGTAGAATATTCCAGTAGCTGACATACTGACATCGCTTCCACCAATTCCCTGTTGTTTCTAATGTTTCATTTGATGCACAACAGCATCGCAATCGTCTTTGTTTACCTACCTTTGGACAATTACTTCCTGCAGACAACTGACAAGTTGGATGGTTGGGCTGGGTTTGGGTCACTGTCCAACTGAGCACCCAGAAAGATTTCTCAGCCAAACCCCCACCGATGATGGAGAAGGAGCTGGTTCCCCGTCAGTCTAGACCTGGCAACCATTAGCAACAAACAGCCTGCAGCCTAAATCCAACCCAAAACCTGTTCATGTAAATAAAGCATTACTGGGACACTGGACTGTGCCTTTCATGATTCCTTTCGCTCCACTGTGGCAGGCCCCGGGAGCTGTCGCAGACGCTGCGGGACCTGCAAAGTCGAAAGTATTTATACTCTGCCGTTTTACAGCAAGATGGCTAAGTCGGCCCTACCGTTAGCTTTATCGCCTCTGCCCATCAGGCCGGTAACAGGATCTCACTGCTGCCTGAATTTGCATTTGTTTAAGTATTGCACTTGAAGGTGGAGTTTAATGTAGATGGTCCTTCATCTACGGCTGCCAGACTCTGCACCGCACCAGGGCGCCCAGCTGAAGGACAGTGCAGGGTGGGCCAAGCTCTCCTCACCCAGCCACGGGCCTGCAAGGCAGCACGCTGCAGGCAGGGGGCGCCATGAGCACCGCCTGAGCTAGTGCCTTCCTTGGTCATCATTTGCCTTGATAGCAAGACCTGGTCTAGACTTTGGACTTAGAGATTTAGAATCAGGGGTTTAGACAAAGCTTGGGTGGGTGGGACTAGGGTTCTACCTGCATTGTGTATGCAGGCCTGAGCCTTGGGGGGTTAGAGGTAGGATGCAGATGAACAGTTTGAAATTCAGACTCAAGTAGAAGCTGGGGTTCAGGCTTTAAGGTAGGGCTGACGCGGTGAGGGTGGGGCACAAGGCTGGGGAAGTTCAAGGTTGAGAGCCGGACTCCTTGGCCCTGCAGTGGTGTCTGTCAAAGAGGAGATGTCGTGGGTCCAGAGCCGCCTCCCCGCGAGCCAGCCTGCCGTGTGCCCTTGCTCACCTTCTGCGCTCACCACCGCCCTGATCAGGGTCAAGGTCCCCACGCGGACAGCCTCCTTGCTCATCTCCATCTGGCTGAGGAAGAACTTCATCAGCTCCTTGGGGTAGGAGCGGGCTGCAGGGGGAAGGTCAGCTTTAGTGTGCCCGCCGCACGCGCCAGAGCAGCTGGGGAAGCAGCCGGGCCCGTGCCAGGGGGTGAGGCCCCGCGGGCTCCCAGCAGCCTTGAGGGCACCTCACCCAGGGCTATGAAGCAGTGGACGATTTCTGTCAGGTTTTGGCTGCTATACTGCTGCTGGGCAGGGGCCTTGGCACACACCTGGGGAGAGGGGTGAGCAGGGCGGGTGCATGAGATCGGAGCCAGGCAGAGGATGCCCGCCTGACCGTGCCCTGGCTGCACACACGGGAACCACGGCTTCAGGCCCCAGAGGATACAGCTGGCACAGGGCCTCCAGCTCCTTCTGGCTCCCCCTTTGCCCTGGCCCACCATGACCCCTCCCACAGCCAGCTTCCTGCTGACCCACCCTGAGACTGCCATGCCCAGCCCAGCCTGGCCTCACCTGAACATGCAGTTCTGTGAAAATGGTATGGAGCTGCATTTGGGGTACAGGGGTGTTGGTGATGACAGACACTTCCAGGATCTGCCTCAAGACCTGTGACAGATGAACCAATGGTGGCAGGTGACCCTCTCCCCACTCAGGGCCAAACTGCAGGCCCTGACAGCTCCTCAAGGAGCAATGACCAGCAGCAGCAGCTGGTCCCCCGACTGGCTTCCTTTTAAGAGGAAAAGATATGGAGAGACTCAGGGAGAAGGCAGGGGCCTGAGAGAACTGGCGCGATGCTGCCAGAAGCAAAGCAACACCTGGGGCCACCAGAGGTTATTGGGCAAATTGGCTTCTTCTCAAAAGCCCCCATGGCCCTGACCTCACCTTGATGTTGGACTTCCGGCCTCCAGAGCCAGGAGAGAATAAATTTCTGTTGTTTTAAGTCCCCTACCCAGGGACTTACCAAGACCCCTGGAAACTGATACCCCGGCCACCACTTTCTCGTGGCCTCCAAGATCTTTGGCATTCCATCCCTTCCACCAGAAACAGAAATGTTCATTTCTGACAAGCTCTGGCAGTGCCAGGAACTATGGCCCCTTGTGAGGCACAGAAGTCAGATCTGCTGTCAGATGTCAGGATATCTAACATTTCCACCCACACCCAGAAGACATCCCCGGGACAATGGGGAACCCCAAATTTCCCAAACCTCCCGCCCCGGGGTCGTCGGTGCGGGGCCTCGCACCTGAGTGATGAAAAGGGCCTCCAGGCTGCCCTGGTACTCGGCCAGCAGCAGAGGGATGTAGTCATACACCTGCTCCCGCAGGTCGTCGTTGGGCAGGAGGAGGTTCAGCATGGGCTTCAGGGACTTGATGACCCCCAGCTTCACCTGCCGCAGGAACAGGGACTGTTGACCCCTTGGTGCAGGCCCCACCCCCGCACCCCAATGTCCATCCCCAGTGGCTAGTGCAACTTCCAGGACACGTACAGTGAGGACCTTGGCAGTGGTGGCGCCAGCGGGGCCAGACGTCCCCTGTGAGTCCAGCTCTGTCACCTACGGGACCTTGGGCATGCACTCAACTGCTTTGGGCCTCAGTTTCTTCATAGCACAGAGTTGGTGTGGAAATAGCCCGCGGGTAAAACACCCAGAGAGCCTCTCATGCCAGTTACATTGACCCAGGGCTAGGACTATGGCCTTCTGGGGCTACAGGGCCTGGGGTTCAAGAACCTAAGCTTCCAACTCCACTATCTTCTTGGGGTTCCAGGAATGAAGCTGGACCTCGTGGTATCTCGGCCTCGCCATAGAGCAGAGACCTGTGACCTGGGGGGTACCGCACTCCCCCAGATGTGCCCCTCACCTCAGGGTTGTGGTTCCTCAGCCACACGGTCACAAAATAGCGGTACATTGGGAACAGCTTCACAGCAAACTGGTCCTCAGTCATCACGGGGTACACGCTGTCTTCCAGATGCTTCAGGTAAAACTGCACCGTCTCACAGAATGTCTCCATGGCTACCAGCATGGTGGGGGGAGGGGATATGACGTGAGCCCCAGAGGGGCAGGAACAAGACAAATATTCCAAGGCCACCTTCCCAGAGGGAGAACTCACACAACTCCCTAGCTAGCAGCTGCCTGCGATGGCCAGGAACTTGCTGAAAAATCCCCATCTGCCTCCCTCCCTCTTGATCCTTCCAGGCTCCCTACAAACCCCTAATTTTTACCCTGATACCTGTGTGTGAAAGACTCCCCAGACCCCACCTCTTGGGGTTGAACTGCCCACACCGAGACCAGTGTAGAAACATTTCCCTGGTCTCCCACTCCTTTGAATCCCACCACCCTTCTCTGGTCTTCTCCCGAAATGCTTCGCTGCACAACCCGCTAAAGTGAGCCACAGTGACAGCCCTGGTTCAGCCATCTATTCCCCCAGAGAGCCAATCAGAGGCCTCACAGAGAAGGAGATTGAGCATAGGTTGGGGAATAAATGAATACCCCACCCCTTGTTCAAAAACCCCTCCATTTTTAACTCCACTTCCACCTCCAGCTCCTTGATCGGGCTGGACCTGCAGGCCCAAGCAGCACACCTACCGCCACAGATCACCTGCCGCATCTTGGCCTCATTGGCGAGTCTCAGCATGGTGAATATGGTAGCCAGGGTGATGCCCATGTACGGCATGAACTCAAACACTGTGGGGCGAGGGGAGAGGACATGGGAAGTAGGGTGAGAGGTAGAGGGTGACCCCATAGCAAACACCTCCAGCCCCTCCACAGCTGACATGCCATCACCCCAAGGAGGCCCCACAGAAATGAGGTGCCCTCCCTGCACCCTCGTCGCAACCGGCACCACAGAGCTTCACGCCCGTCAGCTAACTGTGACACCCACGTCCTCGCTGACTTGTTCACGTTCCTTTGCAAGGGCGGGGACCCCACACGGCCAGGCACCCACCCAACACCTGCACGGAGCAGGACTCGGCGTGTGGGGGACGGGAAGAGAGTGGGGAGAGGAGATGGAGACCAGGAGGGAGCACCCCGTCTGCCTGAAGGGCCCAGAGACAGGGGAGGGGCCCCGGTCCCTACCGTTGCCGTTGGCCAGCTTCGCCAGGGTGACAATGACAAATTCGTCACAGAGGTCGAGGGGCTTGAGGTGGTGCTGCAGCTCATACATGACCATGCTGAAGTGGTTTCGCGACAGGGCCACCAGGGTGTCGCTGGCCACCTCTGCCCTCACGTAGCCGTCCACCTGCGGGACGACCGGGGGGCCCCCATCTGCAAGGTCTGGCAAAACCCGCCTGCCCTGCGGCCGCTCGGGTCTGCCGGCTCCCTGGGGCTCACAGCCTGCTCTCGCCAGAGGAGGTGGCTGGCAAGGGCCTTGGGCATCCCGGCCAGGCCAAACCACAGCCCACCCCTGGGTTGAGGGCCACGGATGGAGCCCAGGACGCGGCTACCTCCAGGCTCTCCCTCATCTCCTCGGAGGCAATGGCCACCAGCCTCTGGACGCACTGCTCCTCCAGCTCGCCCTCCTGCTGGATGATCTCCTGGAGGATGTTGTAAATGTTGACTTTGCGCTGGGTGGAAATCTAGAAAGCAGATGTGGCGGCAGGAAGCTGCTGGACTGGACAGTGGGGTCGGGGATGGACCCAGGCCTGGCCCCACAGTAGTCGACATCTCCATCTCCCAACCCCTCCTGGCAGGGGCACCCACCATCCTCCATCTGCCCCAAGCTCAGACCCCAAGGCTCCACCTGCAATGCCTCATCGCCCCCCACAACCCATGCAGTGGGGCTGCCTGGGTGGCCCCCCGGGCTGTTCTCCCCTCCTTGTTCTAGCCTGGCAGGAACCGCGGGCAAGTGTCAAAGGGTCGGCACAAAAGGTTCTCCCAAACCGGTCCAAAAATGAGGCTTGCCCGCCCTTTCCCTGGCGCGGGGGCATTTGACACCCCTTAATCTGGTTCCTATGGGTCCTTATCGCATATTAAATGACGGATTAGGCCGGGGTTGGATTAGCAGATTGTGCAACCCAGACCCCCGGAGAGGGGTTTAGGTGGGACTCCCGCCAGGCAGGGAGACCAGCCGCCCTGGGATGGGGAACAAGGGTCAGCTTGACTTGTGGCCTCCTCCCTGGGGTGGAAAGGGCACTTCCCGACAGCCCAGCAACCCCAGCAAGTTTGGGGACTTCAAGAAGAGAGGAGTTCCCCTGAAGTACACATTCTACAAGTGGGGCCGGCACAGAGAGACCACCTGGCTTTGCTAGCCTCAGTGTAGAGACAGCGGGGGCGACTGGGGGGGGGGTTCAGCGCCCATCAGAGTCCAGTCCAAGTGGCTCCAGACTGAAGATTCTCCCCCTTTCTGTCCTGCTGTAGTTTTTGATTGCTCACTAGGGAGGCTACCTGGATGCTCTTCCCTAACCCTAACGCTGCAGCTGTGCTGGGATTCCTGGCTCCCTCCACCCCCACCAAGAGCCACCCGCTGGGGAGGCATCACCCGCCGAGGACGCAAACTCTAGGTTTTCAGGACAGCCCGGGGAGCCGTGTGCATGGCCTACGCGCCGCTCCTCCGTCAGCGCGCAAGCCGATCGGTGCCGGGACTAAGCTTCGGAGGATGATCATGGGCACAGACAAGAACTGGACCCTGGCAGAGAGTGGGCGCTGGGTGACGTCCAGGGGACAGCCGGGCCCTGACACCCGGGAGCGTGTCTGGTGGCCTGTGACGTCTCAGTCCCTTTCTCCTGGTGGGCGTGGGCGCGCAGGAGCCGTGACAACGCACAGTCCCCGTCTAGCCACGAAGTGGCTCTGCCATTGGCACGATGCAAGTGAATTTTGTCTGGTAAGGCAGGTAAAGGTCTAAGTAAAATCCTTATTTTAAACTGATTTTAGTGGTTTCTTGACTAACCAAGGGATAAATCAAAGCTCTCCCTTTCGTGTCTGCCTATTACCCTCTGTCACTGCACCGTGCGCCTGTGAGGCCGCGGATTCCTTGTGCTTTCAAAGTCACCCTCTTTCCTGACGTGTGACATCGTGTGTCCTTGCTGACCCCAGAGGGCCTCCCCTCCCAGCTTAAGCAGTTCCGGAGACGTGAGGCACTGGCACTGGGGGCACCACTTTCAGAAACACCAGCCTAAGGAAGCCCCCCCTTCCCTGCTCTCACCCACCTGCCCCATCCCCAGGCCCAGGCCCAGACCGCGGGAAGTCCCCGTGCCCGTGTCCCTGGTGCCCCTCATTACTCTGTTAGTCAAACTGGCCCATCCTGAGCCTGCGCCCTCAGCTCGTTGGTTCCATCCCGTATAAACCACAGGAGACCCCCGGGCCCCGCAGTCCCGCCCTGTCCCCCATCCAGCCCTGGAGCCCCCTCCGCGGCTCTGCAGGGCCTGCCCCAATCCCAATCTGTGCTCGTGGCTTCACAGGCAGTTATCTCCGGGGCTGTTGGCCTCGCCACCCCGAGAGTAAGAAAGCTAGGGTCCTGCAAGTCTGCTATGAAAACCCCTGACGCCCGCACCCCCTCCCGGGGCTGCCATGCAGCTTTCTATAAGCAACACCTTTGCCACCCACCCCCAAAGACTAGACTTGGAGACTCAAACCCGGCAGGTCACAAAGGCCCCGGAACAGCCGCATAAAGTTAGCTGTGAACTGTTACACATGCTGAATCTCAGCGCCCCGGCCCTACTGGACTGTAAACTGGGTGGAGCCCACCATCTGGGCTTGAACCAGCCCTCAGGGCAGCCCTGTCACATGAGGACCCTGTGTGCCCTATTCCTCCCTTCAACCGACATCTCTGCCCAGCTGGACAGTCTCCCTGGCCCCCAGCCTGCCGATCGCTGGGCATGCTTGCCCACCGTGCACACCCCCTGCGCCCCCACTCTGCGTCTTCACACTCAACTCGGGTGCTCTGGGGTGATGCTCCCAAACCCACGGCATCAAACACAGAAGAGCTTTTCAAATCGTGAAGGCCGCTCTGTCCTCACAGAGCAGGAAGCTCCAGCGTGGCCCAGCCACGCCCCACCGCACCCAGCCAGGAGTGTCGGCCCGGGGCCCACAGCCGCAGCACCAGCAGGGGCGTGGCGGACGGCCTACCTTCGGCACCTGCAGGCAGCGGATGAGCGCGTGCATCACCACCGAGGGCTTGGAGGTGGCCTTCTCCGTGATGATGACCGAGGCCAGCGTCTTCCGCATATCGGGGCCTGGTCCCACCATGTCGGTCTTGGCCGACTTGCTGTCCATGATGTCGAGGAGGTTTGTGATTTGCTGGAACATACCTGAGATGAAGGGGCTACTGGTGTGGTGTGGAGGTGACCCAAGAGGTGCCCCGAGTGCCCTGTCCCTCCCGGCACCTGCACAGCCCGGTCCAGCTGAGGTGTGATCGGCCACGGTCCTTCCCACCCACTCCACACGTGGAGAAATCGAGACCCCAATGGGGATGGGCCCTGAGGGGGCTGGTGGCCGAGATGGGGCCAGAAGACTGCGACCTCTTACCGCTGCCCTCCAGCTCCTGTGGCCCCAGGCCCTCTGTTTCCTCTGATGGGTCCTCATTTGAGTTTGTTGCTGCTTCTGCCATCTCTTCCTCAAGCTCTTTTGCGCAACTAAGATTTGTAAAATATTTCTTGCGTAGACACACCCAACAGGACCCCCCACAAGCCTCAACCCGGATCACGGCCTCCCCAAGTGTCAGGGAGTCGTGACTGGTTGTGGCAAAGGTGACCATATCCTGTCTCTCAGCTGGAGAAAGATTGTCCCACCGGCCTTGGCAAGATGCCAACCGCAGGGACGGCGTGCAATGGACTGAGGTCTCACAGCCACGAGGAGGGGCCACCATCAGCCACATGAGCCAGGGAGCTTGCCCAGCCCTGGAACGCGGCCCTGCTGGTGCCTGAGCCACCCGTGCAAGGCCCCTGGGTCGTGCCCAGCTCCTGACCATGCACACGGAGAGGCAATGGGGAAGCTGTGTGGAACCGCCAAGATTGTGGTGATTTGCCACAGAGCGCTGGAGACTGACACACTTAAGATGGGCCCGCCCTCCCTCGCCTCTAGGCTCTGCAGACGTCTAACTAATGACTAGAGGGAAGTCCACCTGGGCCACTCCTGTCGCTCCTCCTTGAAGGTCTGTCCACCTCAGCGCAGAGGTCGAGATGGAAGGGTCGTGTTCCCACATCCTGCTCCTCCTGTCCCAAACGCTCAGGCCCCAGATCCCATCCTGGGCTCTGCATGAGCCTGCGAGCTTTCCCCCCAGGGAGTCTGTTAAAGCGCCAGCCCAAGACCTAACACTGACCTTTTCTCAGAGTCCTCTCTTGGATGGAACAGAAATACACCCCGAGGAGCAGCTCCGCTGTCTGCCTGACACACATCAAGGGTGACCAAACGCTGGCAGGTGGGGTCGGAGGCAAGACAGCCCCTCAGTCGTGACACATGGCGGGCTGCAGGGGGTCACTGGAACCATCACCGTTAGGGCCCAGGCCCTTAGAACCTTGCGTCCAACTGCCTCCCTGACTCCCCCAGAGCTTTGAGGAGCCCCCCCCATCCTGGGGTCAAACCCCACCTCATGTGGTCATCAAAAGTTTCTGTTCCCCACATGTGGTGAAATACGGTAGTGGGGTGATTCACAGCCAAGACCCCTGGGAGTGGGGAGACGGAGGGAGGGCTCGCTGGGACAGGGTGCCTCTTCCCCAGGGGTACTCGCAGGATGGGGAAGGGGTTCCACCAGCAGAATACCTGGGAGATAAAGACCCTCAGGAAACAGGGACCCCATATCCTGAAACACAAATGGGGCCCACAGGATGTCCTGCTCACCCTCAGCTCCACAGTGAGAGTGGGGACCTGCTGCCCCGTGGGGACCTGCTGCCCATGGGGACCTTGCATGTATCACGGGGCCACAGAGCAGGACTCGGAGCCGCTGAGCTCCAAGACCGCTAGTAAAATACCCGCTCACATGTCACCCGTTCTGCCAAATGGGGCCTCCTCGGTGTCAGCTTGGACTCCTCTGTCACAGGAGCCCCGGCCCTCAGGAGGCCTGGGGTGTTCACCCGGAAGCACCTAACTCGCAACACAGACCCTGGCCAGCGCCCCGCGGGCCGGGGAACGTGAGGCCCTTCACTCCCTTGAGGTCCTGCTCCTCCCATCGCCCTCCAGTCATCACAGCGCCTGCCATTTGGTTTGCTGCGGAATCAGAGGTGCCCACCCCTTAAATAATAAACTCCCCTGGGAAGAGACGGCCTCTGGCTGAGAGTGGTCGCTGGGCCAGGAGGCCAAAGACCCAGTCTGGTAGCTTCCAAATGACCTAATAGGTGAAGAGGTGCTGATGGGGAGTCAGACGTGGGCGAATCAGCCTTGGTGGCAGGACAAACTGCCGAAAAACGTAATGACAAAGGAGACGCCCAGGAGGACACAGCCCCCGGGAGCCCAGGAGCTCGGCCACAGGCAGGAGCTGGTGTGAAGAGTCTGCGCTCCCAAAGCGCCTCCGGGCTGAGGCTGCAGAAGGCCTGCTTGCTCCGACCTCACCCCGAGGCTACTGGCAGTAGATGAGCTTGGCCTTGCTTTGCCTAAGGGTGGCTGGAATTCCTTCACGGCCATAGTTAAGGACCAGGGAACCCCCAAACCTAGTAGCAGGTTTTATTCTTTGATTTTTATTAGGGTTTCCCACCACCCCATGCGCTCCGACCCCTCCTCCCTCCCGCTTCCCTCTTGACCCCAGAAGCCTGTCTGTCTTTATTAGTGTCTCAGAGTTTTGTGAGAGTTTTGCTTGTCCAGGTGCCTGCTGCGGGAGCCTCCAGTTTGTCCCTGTCCTGCTGACCTGTTAACCGCAGAGCATCCCCTCAAGCCCCTTGGGCACTGCTGAGAGCGTCTGTTTTCCCTCCACGCTTCTCTCCGCTCCAGCGCCGCCTGGCACAGGCTGCAGGCGCCAGTCCTCTCCCAACGCCAGACCGTGCACTGCCCTCGGGACACTCTGCCACGCGTCCCTTCCAGTGCAAGTCACTGCCCCCAAAGGGGGCATCTGTGAGCAGGACCAGGAACCGGGACCTGCGTCACCGGGGCCGGATCCATCACAGCAGCGTCACGCCCTGCAGGGGCCAAAATGCCGTATAGCCTTCACCCCGGGTGGGCACCAGGCCCCCCACACGGACCCCACACGAGCCAGAAAGCACTGCCTGGCAAAGGCAGATCCCGCGCAGTCCCCTTGGGGCTCATGGGAAAAGGCCAAGTGTAGGTCAGGTTAGAGGGACCGCAGGGGACAGCAAACAGACCCAAATAACTTCACCCCGAAGTGGGGCTCGGGGTTAGACTGGTTTATTTTGAAAAGCACTCTGGAGCGGCTAAATTATCACAAAGTCTTTAATAGTCATAAACTCTAGTCAACACTGACGCCGCGGGGTGGGGCACCCCCGGCCCCTTCTCAGTGCGCCTTGGATTTGTGATGCTTCTTCCCTCGCCCTTTCCTCCCACAGCACTTGCGGAAGCAGAAGGCGCAGCTTTTATAGAAGATGAAGGCGGCGGTCAGCACGATGGCCAGGAGGAAGCCCAGCACGTCCAGAGAGTGGTACTGGTACCAGGTGAGGTCGTGGGCCGCCGGCCGCAGGTGGGGCGCCCCCTTGTTCCTCATGACGTACTCCACCCAGAACACCGCCAGGTCCAGGGGCTCCATGGGCCGGTCCTTGTGCAGGCGGGACAGGCGCATGATGTTCTCCTTGTAGCTGAGCAGAGACAGCGAGTGAGCGCCCGCGGCCCCCCGCAGGGGCACCCCACCTCTGCCTGCGTGCACTTAGAGCACCCCTGAATTTCCACACTTGATAAAGAAGTGTGTTCCCATTATAACAGAAGTGAACACACAAGCATGCACACTCGCAAGCGCACACACATGCACACACGCTGTTCATTTCTTCAAAGAAATGGAAAGAAAACCAGAACCGAAATGCTAACTTCAAATTATTTGAAACTTGTGGCTACGTTTCCTTTCAGTTGTGTTTTTGAAAGCAATTTGATAACCCTTTCTTGGTGGTGAGCTGAAGAAATAATTGAAAGAGCATGTCCAAAGTTAGGGGCAGTTTCCCACTCGAAGCAGCAAACCACCCCATCTACACAAAAGGTCATGTTAAGTGTCATCTCCAAGATGGTGACACTCTTGCTAGTCAATGGCTGAAGCAGCGAACACCCAAGTGCCGGGGTTAGCAGGAAGCCGCGTCTACGCAGCAAGTGAAAGCAAAGGGATTGCTGTTTATTTTGGACAGTGTTGACGGCTGAATCACAACCACCCAATCCAAAATGGGTTGGCTGTGTCAACCCACAGCATGGATTCACTAGGAGGTCAAAACAAAGGTGGCGTCTGTCCTCTCTCTTACCTTTTATCATTGATGACGGTTTTTATGGCATTGGCAAAATCGTCAGAAGTCATTTCCAGGACGTTCAAGGAGATGCCAGCCCCCCGGGTCTCCATGCGCTTAGCATTGTCCATCTGATCCCCGAACAAGGGCAGCATCACCATGGGGACGCCGTTGCATATGCCCTCGTAGATGCCGTGGGAGCCCGAGTGCGTGATGAAGGCGCGAGTCTTCGGATGACCTGAGAAAGCAAAACAGGGGCGACCCCAGCGGTCAGTCACCGAGCGTCCCGCCTGGCCTCGTCTGGCGCTGAAAGCACTCTCAGGACTCAGCCTGCCCCGCCTGGCCCTGCCCATGTTTGCAGGAGAAAATGTGGGGTGGCAGACCCCAACCCGCGACAAGCAGCGGCGGGCACGTTGGCCGCCACGTCCTGCAGCGGACCGTCTTCAGAACAGCCTGCCTCGGTGCTTCCCCAGCTGAGCCTCGGGGTGTCCTGCAGGGCAACTCCTCCCACATACCCAGCAGGTCATTCTGGGGCAGCCACTTGACCAGAATGGTGTTCTTGGCGAGGTTCGAGGGCCGCGCTCCAGTGTACCGCCACAGGACCTTGCAGGGACAAAAAGAAGCGCTTACAGGATCTGTGCTGTCTGCTGGGGCAGCCAGAAAGGAGCATCCTCGAAGGAGCTAACCCGGGCAGAGGGGCGGGCAGTGACTAGGTTTCCAGCTACAATTGTATGAGTTTTTCAGAATTCATCGTGTCGGACACTTAGGAATTTGGCCCTTTTCTGCACCTCAAGGGGAAGTTGACTTAACAAGAGGAGTGACTGTGGAATGGTGGAAGCAGAGATAGAAGCAATAAATCTACTGTTCTCAGCAGCAGCTTTTTGCAGGAATGTTCCTTTTTTATACGCAGAAACACCGTGTTCATTAGTCAGCTTTAAAAGTGAATGTCCCGCAATATACGGTGAGTCTCTTAGAGAAAATGAGACTTTCACGTGAAGTGGGCCGTGGGTTAACAGGGTAGCTGAGGGTGAAGTTGAAGGAAGCGTTCTGGGGGAGAGCTGGGAAGCCCAAGTCTACAGAAGCCCAACTGCAAGAGTTCACTTAGACAGCGGAAGCCTGGAATAGCTCCACGTCAAGGAATCAGAACGTCTTCTTACTGTCTGAGGTATTTTGCCCAAAGCATCAGCAATTTCCATGGCATTCTTCTCCGGAATGTCTGAGATCATCGAGCCCAAAGAGAAAACCACGATTCCATGTTCTCCGGAAGCATTGATGTAGGTTTCAAATTCCTAGAGCCAGAAGAGAAACGTCCAGTTAATTTTCCCCTCACATTCTCCGATGACTGTGTGTACCGAGCTCCCAAACAGCTACCTTCCTCTTCAGGCTGTGATGAAAATTGTGTGTGTGGTAAGTGTGTGTGTGGTGAGTGTGTGTTGTGTGTGGTGAGTGTGTGTGTGGTGAGTGTGTGGTTTGTGTGGCAAGAGTATGCATGGTGTGTGTGTGATTGTGTGGTGAGTGTGTGTGTGGTATGTGGTGAATGTGTGGTATGTGGGGAGTATGTAAGGTGAGTGTATGGTGTATGTGGTGAGTGTGTGTCGTGTGTGTGTGGTGAGTTTGTGATGTGTGGGTGGTAAATGTGTGGTAAGTGTGATTGTGTGGTATGTGTAATTATGTGGTGAGTGTGTGGTGAATGTATGGTGTGTGGGGAGTGTGTGTGGTGAACGTGTGGTGTGTGGGGGGAGTGTGATTGTGTGGTGTGTATGATTGTGTGGGGAGTGTGTGGTGAATGTGCGGTGTGGGGAGTGTGTGTGGTGAATGTGTGTGGTATGTGAAGTGAGCGTGTGGTGTGTGTAGTGAGTGTATGTGTGGCGAGTGTGTGTCACGAGTGTGTGTGGTGAGTATGTGAGTGTGTGTGGTGAGTGTGAGATGTGTGTGGTGAGTGTGTCTGGTGAGTGCGTAGTGAGTGTGTGTGTGGTGAGTGTATGTGTGCGAGATTAAGGTCAAACACCAGCTCTGGAAGGACGCAAGAGACAGATACTCAGCAGCAGCAGGAAAACAGTGTGGAACAGGGGAACGTACCCCCAGGAGGAGAGGACGCTCCAGCCCACCCTTGGCAGTCATGTAAGCTCAGCCTCATCTGCCCCAACCTCCAAAGTCAGCTGCAGAGGCCTGTGCAGACACAAGCAGTGCCCACACACAGGGGCCCACCTGCCTGCACCCCAGACCTGCCAGCTTCCAGGACATAATCAGGCATAAGTAGGTCAAGTTTCCCCAACTAGATTATCCCTGATCTAATTAAATTCTTAAGAGTTGCCAAACAGCTTCATGTTTCCAAAGATGCCAAGTGCAAAATGTGATTGTGGCGTGTGCTGTGGTTTTCCTGGGCTCAATCACCACACACACCACACACAGTCACCACACAGTCTCCACACCAGTCCGGGACCCCTTAGATGTGAGATATGGAGACTTCAGACAGGCTCAGCGTGGGAGGGGCGGGGGGGGGGGGTTGCAGAGACTCTGCCACGCTGAGCACGACCAGAAGAGCCAAGTCTAGACAGCCTTCTTCCCAGGTGGCCACTGTCCACGCGGCCCCACCTGTCCCGACTCTTCGGGAGCCTCTGGTTCCCAGGGGCTGATGTGAAAGGCCAGGGACCCAGTGCAGCCTCCCTGAGCACGCTACGTTCGGGCTGTGGCAGACAGTCCCGACGTCCTTCACCCCACTCCACAGTCACCTCCCAGGGGCTCCTGCGCGTCTGTGTCCTGCGCTCACTCACTGAGGCGACCAGCTTCCCAAGCCCCTGGACCTGAGCTCCTCCATGAAACCCCTCTCGCTCTGACCTTGCCTAGAAAAGACGGATCCAGTTTCCCCTCCTTCCAACCCCCACACACCCACTTGGCACCAGGGCGGTGTGCTCACACTACACGGGACCACGGATCATAAACAGCCGAAGTTCAGCAGCAGGACTTGGCAGCGCTTCAGCAGCCCAGAAGCTCACGCGCAGGTCACAGAAGGTCGGCTGCGGGCACTCCGGCAGGGCAGGGTGCAACAATGAAGGTCCCCCCTGGCCAGCAAGGCGCCCCATGAACCTCGCCCTGACTTCACACGCTCTGCAATGATGTTAGCTGCAAAGAGTCGCGAGCCCCCACCTCAACCCCTTACCCCCAAAGTGAGGCCACCCCTGAAATTAAAGCTCCTGTGCCCGTCCATGATGCTGTCGAAGGAGCTCCTGACTTTTGCTATGACTTAGTACTTTCACTTCCAGGTTTTCATTCGGTTTTTCCTTCCCAAGAGTCTGTTCTGTTTCAAGATCCGTGTACAGGGCTCCTCTGGCTCGCTGGAAGCCTCGGCCTTATTCCACCACACTCAGAGCCACCCGCTGACCCCCACTTCCCCACACCGGTCCTGCTCCTCACGCCCAGCCCTTTCTCACTGATCTCCTGTTTCCTCAGACCTAACTCGCCCCTGTACCGTCTCTGAACCTCTAGTGTCCACGAAGATCTCCCTCACGCTGCCAGGGAAATGGCATCGAGCCGGCCTTGGGTTGCATTCCTTGCACTCAAAGCTCAGCTGCCAGCCTCTCTCAGCCGCCTCAAAACTGCCCCCGCCAGCAGGGGGCGATGTCTCCACAGGCGTTCATTGCAGAGGAAAGATTTTCTCTCTAGCCCAGGTTCTGGACTTTCACCTATTGGAAATAAGACACTTCTGCTTGGGGAATGAAAATGGAGATCAGCATTCTTATTTAACACGGGAAAGAAAAAACTAAATGTCAACCGGACCAGCAAGAATCAGGAAAAGGGAAAATGACAAAGAAATTAAAATGGGAGAGTGTAACGAAATCTACCAGTTGTTAAAGGAAGTGCAAATGTGAAAAACTGAATTGAAAGGTACATGCCCCGACGAGGTTAAAAATCCCAGCTGTGTGTTGTTTACAAAGAAAGCAGCTTGAGGACACAGGGGTTCTGGAGAAGACTAAAGAAATGGAAACAGAAACAGCGCTGGGATGTGATAGCAAAATCAAAAAGTGGAATTTATTTTCTAGCTTTAAGTAGGGCTGCTGTCAGCTCCAGTCACAAAGACGGTCTCTCACTTGAGCCTGCAGCACCCCACATGGAATCACTACAATACACGTCTACAAACTTAGAGGGGGGAAAGTTATCAACAAACGACATCAAAAAATATCAAAAACTAATGCTAAACATAATGCAAAATGATGAAAGAAAAATCAATTTCCATTCAAAGGAGGAGAAAGACATGATTTTTGCTTTCACCAACATGGCTAAACTGTAGAGATTCTAGTGAATTTCATCAGACTGATACTTGGCATGGAATTCAGAAGAAAAACTCAAATTTCCTTTGACAGACAACTGCTGGTGAAAAGTAATTAATGGAGAGGTGGCGGAATCGTAAGTAGATGCCCAGTTAGCAACAGCCATGGGAAAATATCACATTCCTGGTAGGTGAAAAAGTGTGAAATACTTAAGGAAGGATGAATGGGAAATGGACTGAACAAAGAAACTACAAAGTATTTGATCTTTGTTAAGGGACAGTCTTAAGAAGCAACAAAAACAACAGCAACAAAAACCCTGGAATACAAGTTTCATGTCCACCCCAGGGAACGAGATCAGATCAGTGATGGACAACCTGTGGCACATAAAACCATGAATACTGCAGAGCAGATAAAAAAAATTCATGGGATGCTTCAACTGGAGCAATAGGCACAATATATTGATAAGGGAGGAATGAAGATATATTATTACCTCACTTCATGAAAGACGCAACCAGGTATTCTACACGTGTACATAGGCCTGTCTGTCGGTGTAGAATACAAGACTGCTAGGCATGACGACCCGGCGTCTGGGCTCATTCGCATCCCTTCCCTGTCCATTCACTGAACAGCTATTTGGTGAGTGCCTACTATGTGCCTTAGATGCTGATATTCCCGAACACCGATCACATGCAGACACACTGCCAGGTGGCAAGGACACACGTCCCCCACCAGTGACTCCCTGGGCTCACGCTTATGGAGGGGACAGTCACGCTGATCTAAGTGAAATGATCGCGGTGTTTGCTGAGCCGTGGAGGAGACGGCACAGAATACGGACCCAGGGAGCAGCGGAGCTGAAAACTGACAAGTCATTTGTTCGAAAGTCCCAGGAGCAGAGACAAGGCCAGTGTACGTGGGTAAACCCATGCGCTTACTGGCAATTCAGGATGAAATTTCCATATCCATGCATGTCTCCAAAGTTTTGATTTTCAAAATACATAGAGACACTTGTTGTTTTCTCTTGGATGCCTCATAATTGTGCCAAAAAGATTTCTCTTTAAAGCCTCACTAACGTGGAAAGGCTCGTTTTCGTTCCTGTGATCCATCCATTTGGTAAAATTTCATGTCTTCTTTTTCCTCTCTCAGAAAGAGAGCCATTAATGGTTTCCTTTTTTCTCCTTCATGATTTTCTGTCCTGCATTTGCAAGGCAACAAAGCCCCACATAGCAAATTTCAAAGATTTGCATATTTGTAATGTTGTCTTCACTGTGGCACTGACTCCGAGGTCCAGGCCCACGTCATCACACCACACCCACCGTCTCCACCACTCACGGTTTCTGTAACGTGAGCCTTTTCCATTTTGCTTTCGGAACGTCAACAATACGTCCTTCTCCCTTAACCAGAACACGCCATCACACAATCAGCCAGACCTCACCCTACCATGCCTCCGTCTATTACACGTCCCAGACAGTGTGTTTTTTCACTAGTTGAAGGTTAAAGGTCACGACCAAGTTGATTGGTGCCATTTTCCCGACAGCACTTGCTCACCCATGTCCCGTTGTCACATTTCATGAAGACATGTGCATCATTTCACTAGACATAATGCTATCACACGCCTAGTAGACACCAGTGTAGTATAATATTAACCTTATATGTGTGAGGACAACAAAAATGTGTGTGACTCACTTTATTGCCTTATTCCCATTATGTGATGGCCTGGAATCAAACCGATCATAGCTCCAAGGAGAGCATGTACCTGCCCAACTGGCCCAAAGGGATCACAGCCGCTGCCAGGAGGTCTGGAAGGCGACCTCAGGTATCTCGCCACATTGTGGGAAGGAATCTGAGCCCCCAGTAGGGGTCTGGGCATGCAGTATCCACCCTACATCTGATTTCTCATGGGGCATTCTTTCTGTCCCCCATTTTCTTTGGGTCATGACAATGACGTGATTATTGTGGGAAGCACACTGGGAGTGAGAGGTGATGCTCTCAAGGGTGACCACAGTCCCGTAGCAGACACACTCAACACATGGGAAGCTCCTGGGCTACCAGCAGATCCTCAGTGAATGCCCATGGAAAGGCCACCTCCTCAGGGAATCCCTCCCAACTCCGCACTAAGGGAGGCTCATGGCCTCTCTGCCCAGCATTAGAATCCACTTGTCTACTTATTTACCAGAAGAGACGTGACCACAGGATCTGGCTTCCATCAGAATCTATAGAAGACCTTTAACCAGGAACATAAAGGTAGCTTTCCCTGCCGGGTCTGTAGGATCTCTGGACACCACGATTAGTTCAGCACTGGCCGGCCTCACCAGTAAGGGAGAGGTGCACACCCCATGTTTATATTCTCTGCAAGGAACCCTGAACCCAGCCCTCTGTGACCCTGTGCTTGTGGCATTTAACCCTTGTTGCTTCTAAGGGACAGCTCGCTTCAGAGCATCCGGGAGAACATGCACTAAATACTCTTCCCTCAAGTCTCAGCTCCAGAAAGAACCAAGAAGATGGTGCTAAAGACACACAAAATTATAACACAGACCTGGGGAACTTGCCAGCTAGAGCGAACAGGCAGTCGAGACTATCTCAGCTTAACCGGGCAGTGTCTCCCTAGGGAAGTTTCCTCCATCCGAGCACTTGCAAGAAAGCTTGGAAAGCTTCCGCCAAATACATACCTGGGAGAGTGGGTTTTGGTGGGCACAGTTGATCCCGCCAATAAAAACCATGCTGGGCATGACGGGCTTGGCATAACTGATCACAAAGTCAGTTCTGAAGAGCCAGACAGATGCAGCGCTCAGAAGGTCCCCAACAGTCACGTCTCTCTGCAGGAATTCTGAGGCAAGTGTTGCGTATGGGGAATAAACCACATTGCACATGACGTTCTCTGACAAGGTAATGAGCATGTTCTTCACCCGCTGCCAGAAGGTCATGTGGTCTGAGTTCATGGACAAATGCTTGGGCACATAGGATGGTGGCTCGGGGCACTGGGTACCTTGAGAATCCAGGCTGCAGGGCAGGGCATTCAAGAAGAACACGAGCGGGAGGGCCAGGTGCTGGGCGACAATAGGGCCGCAGGGCAGGAAGGGGTCTGTGAGCATGGCGTCGAAGCTGCTTTGCGCCAGGGAGCTCATCAGCTCCTCGTTGTACAGTAGGGAGGAGCAGGCGGACAGAAGCAGGGCCGAATCCTCCACCACTCTCTTGTATGTTTTAATGACACGCCACAGGAAAGTTTCTTTCTCAAACACACTCTGTCCCAAATTCTTAAAACTCCTTTCCACGTTCTTCCTTTGGTACGGCACGGGGTACCTCCTCAAGGTATAAAAGGGTGCTTCTCCAATGTGTATAGACGCTTCAGGAGCCAAGACCACTACTTGGTGGCCCCTCTGGTGCAGCTGCTGGATGGTCCCCAACATGCTCAGCCAGTGACTGCCATCCACAGGCACCAGCAACAGCCTCCCAGCCTGGGCCCCCAACGGCCCCAGCACACACAGCAGCAGCCCCAGGACAAGCGGACCCTGGGTCCCTGTCATTGTGCCCTACCTTTGCTTCTGAGACTGTGGCCTGCCAGCTGTTTGCCAGCTCTCACTGATGGGTGGCAATAACCAATATATACAGCAGGTTAATGTTTGATGGCGTCACGTGACTGTAACTGTTGTCAGCTAATGATGGCAGGGAGCTTATATTAAAGAGGGCAGAGGGCCTCCCTGGTGGCGCAAGGAGTTAAGCATCAACTCTATGAAGCTATCTGCAGCCTCTGCAGCACGAGTTCGATCCCTGGCCAAGGAGCAACCCACAGGGCACAACAGACCTCTCGTGTCTCATGCACTGCTCCCCTCAGCAGTGGATTTCAATTAATACAATCCGCCTGTTCTGCTCCCCACTCTGTCTCTGGTGATTCCTCTCACTCCCCACACACCTCTGGCCTGCACCCCAGCTCTTGCATGCATACATAAATAAAAATAGATCTTTAAAAAAAGAACAGCTTTCTGCTCAGCTCTCTCAGGGGCTCTACCTGAACATTTCATCTTTTTTGGATTCATCCAGTCACAAATAGTTATTGCGCCCAACCTGTGCTGGGCCTGAACTCTGCAGCAAGACCACCTCAGAGGTGTCTCTCACACTCCCAGAGCTAATGCTCCATCTAGAAAGACACACTAACCTTTAGAATAAGATTCAAATATGGATAAACTGAATAAGATGTAAATAAAAATGATGGGTCTCACTGATTTGATTTAATCCCCCAATTCTTGCTGTTTAGAGGTAGAGTGTGTGTTGAGATCATTGGGGTTCCATTGAGGTGCTCAGGTAAGAGACACATGTGCCCAGGCTCCCACATGCACATGCATTTCTGAATCCCCCCATCCCCTGACTCAGCCCTCTCCATTCTTTCGGTGAGCAAAAAAAGAAGAGGCAGCCGTGCTTAAACGTGTTGGCGTCCCCTTATCTGCAACTCTGAAATAGTCCAGTTTCAACAGTAAGGGCAATAATTCTGGAGTCTCAATGTCACACAGTCCCTCTGCAGAGCCCATAGAGCAACCGGGCTATACAGAAAACACTGTGTTGGTTTATGGCTTTCCTGCAGCACACTCGCCTGGAAACCTGTTGAGACTTTCGTGCACTTGGGTGGTTTGAGGCCACGACTCTGTCCATGACTAGGGAACACTGTTGCACAATATGAACACAGGTGACCCACCGGTCCAGAATTAGGACCAAGAACACTACCAAGCAATTCCTTTTTATATTCCGTGTCTGAAGGTTATATGAAGTCAGCAGTTTGTTCTGGGGAGCCAATGCCCCCTTTTGGATCTATTGCCATTTATGATGAAATGCTTAAGAGTTCATTGGTTAATCATTTTCCCCAGAACTGTGTGACCTTTACTGGTCACCATTTATGATTTAAAAGAACTCTCAATTAATTAGGAATATAAGTAATATACTTCAACATAATAAAGACCATATCCAACAAACCCATAGTTAACATCACATTCCATGGTGGAAATCCGAAAGCTTTTCCCTAAGACCACGAAAAAGCTAAGGATGTCCATGCTCACCACTAACCAGAGCAATTAGGCAAGAAAAGGATGTAAAAGCAATTCAAATTGGAAAAGAAGTAAAATTATCACTATTTGCAGAGGACATGACAATATACATAGAAAATCCTAAAAATTCTACCTGGTCCATGAATACAGTAAAGTGGCTTAATATTACCAAATCTATTTTATTTCTATAAACAAATAATGAATTGGAGGAAAGAGAAATTAAGAAAACAATCCCACTTAAAATCACATCAAAAAGATTAAATAACTGAGGATAAACTTAACGAAGGAGGCAAAGAACCTATACACCCCAAGCTATAAGACATTGTTAAAAGAAATATAAAAAGACACAAAGAAATGAAAAGATGCCTCATGTTCATGGATGAGAAGAATAAACATTGTTTAAATGGCCACAGTACCCAAAACAAGTTACAGATTCAACACAATACCTATCAAAATCCCAGCAGCTTTTTTTTTTATAGAGGCATGTTTATTTATTTATTTGTTTGTTTGTTTGTTTGTTTATACATGCACTGGGTACAGTCAGAAGCGCGGGAGGGTGAGAGAATTCACCAGAGCCAGAGCGGGGAGCAGAGCAGGCAGAAGGACCAAAGCACACTGCTGAGGGGAGCAGCAGGCAGCAGGAGAGGTCTGCGCGCCATGTGGGACCCTCCTCCGGTGGCCGGGGAGCAGCCGGGGATTGAACCGGCACCGCAGAGGCCGCGGGCAGCTTCGCAACCCAGCACTCAACCACTGCGCCACCGGGGAGGCCCCCCAGTAGCATTTTTCAAAGAAATAGAATAAACAATTCTAAAATTTGTATGAAACTACAAAATACCTTGAATAGCCAAAGCAATCCTGAATGGTGGGACAAAAGGAAAAATGGAATTTTAAAGCTCCCTGACTTCATACTACAAAGCAATAGTAATCAAAATAGTATGGTAGTGTAACAAAAACAGAAACAAACCAATGGAAGAGAAATGAGAGGTGAGAAATAAACCCATATATGTGTTTGTGTGTGTTTTTGGATATACATATATACATATAAAACAAAGGAGTCAAGACCATATGATGAAAAAAAGAAAGCCCCTTCAACAAATGGTGTTGGAAAACCTGGGGAAAAGAAAGGAGGAAAAAAAATCATTATTTCACACCATACACAAAATTTAATTTGAAACGGATCAAAGAGGCATATAAGACCTGAAACCACAATTCTGATAAAAGAAAACATAAGTGATATGCTCCTAGACATCAACCTCAAAGATGTATTTGGGGACTCAACTCTAATGGCAAGGGAAACAAAATTTAAAATAAACATATGGGACCACATCAAAGTAAACAGTTTTCATACAGCAAAATGAACCACGACAAAAACAAAAACAAGCATATTGGCTAGGAGAAGATATTTGTACATCATATGTTCCAAAATATATAAAGAACTTGTACAACTCAACAACAACAAAAAACCCAATCAAAAAAACACAATAAGTAAAAGACCTGAATAGACACTTCTCCAACGAAAACATGTACAAGATCCAAAGTCACATGAAAAAATGCTCTATATCAGAAACGCAAATCAAAACCAGAATGAGATATTTATTCACACTGGTGAGAATGATCTATATCAAAAAGACTGCAAACCAGTGTTGCTGAGGGTGAGGAGAAAAAAGGTGGTGGGGATATAATTTGATGCCGCCTTTATGTAAAATGATATGGCTATTGCCTAAAAAACTAAAAATGGAAATACCATATAATCCAGTAATACCATTCCAGAATAAGAAAACACTAACTGGATAAGATATATGGACCCTTATGTTCATGGCAGTATTATCCACAACTGTCAAGTCATGGAATGAACCTAAACGTCCACCCAGAAACAACTGGATACAGATGATGTAGTGTGCAGGCTCAATGGAGTGCTACTCAGCTCTTTAAAAGGATGAAATGTTGACTTTTGCAGCACAGGATGGAACTTGAGCTGATTATGCCAAGTGAAATAAGTCAAAAGCACTTACACGTGGAATATAAAAAACCAAAGCAAACAAACAGACGAAACACAACAAAAATAACTGTTGGATTCTCAAAAGGCTGATCATGACCACAGGGAAAGGGGAAGGAGGGGAAGGGAGGGGGCTGGGAAGGAAGAGTCAGTGGGGTCCATTTGATGCTATGAGGACACTGGGATTCTGGCGGCAGGTGTGAAGCACAGACACGCATGGATGTGTCACACTCCCACAGTTGTATAGTTTTGTCAATGAATGTGAATCAGTAAAATTTAAATCTAGCTCTTTTCTATTAAGAGATGTAAAATGATGATGTAACAGGGGGGTCCCCAGGAAAGGGGGAGGTTCCAGGTTTCCTGCCCCACCCAAAGGAGGGTGGAGCTGAGCAGGGAGAGAAGAAGCTGCAGAGGAGACAGAGGAAGGAAGGAGCAGGATGGAGCCAGAAGGAGCCCTGGGGGAGGCACGTGGAGCCGACAGACATGTGAAGAAACTACACTTGCCTTGTGGGTGTGGACGGGGTGACACAGATGTGAGTGAGAGACCCATAGGGAGGTGACAATGGCGGTTTTTGTCTCGATTTTGATTTTGCTCTTTTCCTCCCAGACTTGTCTGATTGCTTCTGATCCTTTTCTGTGGGTCCCCGCTGGAAGGTGCTTTAGATTTGTGGCAGGCTTTCGGGCCTTGCTCTGGGCCAATCCCATTTGGGTGGATTTTTACCCACGAGGGGACGGGTCAACTTTGGGTGCTTGAGTTAGAAACTAGATTCTTTGTCTTTCCTGTATCGTTTCCTAATTGTATTAAAGCTTCTTTTCATTAAAGTCTCCTATGTTTTGTGTTGATGCGGCAGATGGCAGAGCCTATTTCAGAGCAGGCAGGTTTGGGGGGGTCTGGGGTGCCCCCTCCCCCTGCCCTGCAACAATGACACTGCACTATATTTGTCTTGAAAAATAGTTATTTTTCCATAAAAATATGCTCTGCTGGCAAGTAAACGGTTTATCATTATCAAGGAGATGGGCGAACTCTGTTGATGAAGCTCTAATGGAATAAGCAAAGGCACCCCGAGGCCCAGAAGCTGGAGAACTGTGACCTACACAAATTTTGCGCAGTTGTGACCTACACAGCTCAGGTCACACTGAACTCACTTCCATCCCTCTACCCCCACCACGGACCCAGGAGAAGCCTGATGCAAAGCCTACTCGGAAATCATTCTCCACGGCAGCTGTCAGCAGGCTGGGTGGGCGGGGCCTGGGTGGGCGGGGCCTGGGTGGGCGGGGCCTTGGCCTGGTGTGAAATCATCACAGACCACACCGGCCCCCAAATGCATTCTGGGAAGCGGCCTCGGCCAATCAGGCGCCAATTCGTCACAAGGAGCGCGCCTCCCGGGCGGCCTGACGTCGCGGGCGCCGAGGCCTGCGCCCGGGCCCGCCAGGCGTGCCGTTGCGGTGCCCGCGGCGCGCGGGCGTCGGCTGGCCGGCATGGTGGACTACTACGAGGTGCTGGGCGTGCCCCGCCAGGCCTCGGCGGAGGCCATCAAGAAGGCGTACCGCAGGCTGGCGCTCAAGTGGCACCCCGACAAGAACCCCGAGAACAAGGAGGAGGCGGAGAGGAGATTCAAGCAGGTGGCCCGGGCCTACGAGGTGCTGTCGGACGCGGGGAGGAGAGACGTCTACGACCGCTGCGGCGAGGCGGGGGCGGAGGGCGGCGGCGGCCGGGCCCGCGGCGCGCCGGACGGGGACCCCTTCGAGTTCGTCTTCAGCTTCCGGGACCCGGCCGAGGTCTTCAGGGAGTTCTTTGGCGGCCGGGACCCGTTTTCCTTTGACTTCTTCGGACACCCGCTTGACAGCATTTGGGGGGGTCACAGGAGCTCCCGGGGCTGCAGAAACAGAGGGTCCGCGTCCCTTTTCTCCGCCTTCAGTGAATTTCCAGCGTTCGGGGGCGGTTTTTCTTCTTTCGATACAGGATTCACGTCCTTTGGCTCCCTGGGGAGCGGGGGCCTGTCCTCCTTCTCCATGGCGTGCGGTGGTGCTGGTGGTGGCGGCCTGGGCAGCTTCAAATCCATGTCGACCTCCACCGAAATCATTAATGGCAGAAAAGTCACCACCAAGAGAATCGTTGAGAATGGTCAGGAAAGGGTGGAAGTGGAAGAAGACGGAGAATTGAAGTCCCTGATAATTAATGGCCAAGAGCAGTTGCTGCGCATTGACACCAAGTAATTTCAGTCCCTGTTTAACTTACAGTATCTTGCGAGGAACAGCAGGACTTTTTTTTTGTTGTTTTTTGTTTTTTTTTGGGGGGGGGAATGTTGCAGGTGAACTCTACTTTCAGAACAACTGTACCCAAGAATGTATAAACAGATCATGCCAGTGCCTGTTTCTTGTTATTTTCGGGGCCGCTCCAATTGGACGCCTGTCCGTTTGTTTTCCAACCTGTTGTAAATATCTGATGCACTTTGCTATCTATTAAACATAATCCTGAGGCCAATGGTTATTATTTTGTAATAGGAGGACAAAATATTTACCCCAACACCCTGAACCTTGCCTTTCAATGCTCTTTGAAATGTGAGCCAAGTCATTTCTTCAAAAGTTAATATTGCTAAGAACAATCCATTTATTTCTGTTAGCACTGAGTCCTGAAAGATGAGACTAACTCAGTGATACCTCTGGCTTAAAGATGGTTTTTAATTCCATGTAAGCTACGGACTTAGTAATTACTGAATTGACTTGTCCCATGTATGATGTTAAGCCTAGACTTTTTAAAAGCAGGTGACCTTGGCAAAGTAAATGTATTAGGGTCCTCTGACTGCTGTAACAAGTTACCATGAAGCGGATGGGAGAAAAGCAATGCACATTTACTCTCTTAAATTTCTGGAGGTAGAAATCTGAAATGAGTTTCACTGAGCTGAAGTCACTGTTTGCAGACCACATCCCCTCCAAAGGGCAAAATAGATTATCGGAAGTAATTCCTCACAGTGATGTGGTTGGCTGGTGGCATCATTTGAACTCTGTTCAGGAAATCTAATTTAAAAAGAAATGACAGTGAAAGCTCAAAAACTTAATGCATATCTGATTGCTGGCCTGCCCCCTACATGGTTCTACATCAGCGGTTGATGGAAATGTGGTAAGCATTTCATAACTTTCCACAAAACTATCCCATGGCCTTGGGCAGCGTATATCTCTGGTCAAATTAGGATGACAAAAGCCATGTTTCACTTGGAATGTTGATTAGATGAGGCAACATACATCTGAAAGAGCTTTTTTTTTTTTAAAGATTTGTTTATGCATATAAAAACTGGGGTACAGGCCAGAGGTGTGGGTGGGGAGGGTGAAAGGATTCACCACTGAGAGAGCTTTTTGTTAGTGCACATTGTGGCCCCAGTGAAAACCGTTTTGGGGTATGGTTGCCTCAGGGACATGGTATTTCAAATGCAAGGGACATCAATCCATTGCAAAGTAGCCTGCCCCCAAAGAAAAAGGTTTAGGTAAGACATGAAAACAAATGTTCTTAATCCCTTCCAGAAGGTCTCATAGCCTGGACATTGCTAACTAACTAGAAATCCAGGAGAGTTGACTTTGGATACCCCTTAATTGGGCCCTTCATGGGGCCCTTCAAATCCAGGCCCCATGGAAGGACATGCAACTGCAGAAGGTACATCAGATTCAGCCACAGTGTCACGCAGGGACACGGGATGGTGGGGCCGGGGGGAATCACACCACATCAAACAGTCCCTGAGGTTCTTGTACAGTTTGTATGCTGGCTTTACAGTATCAGAGCAGAACAGGACCCCCGGGCTTTTAAGAAATGAGTTAATTTGCTTGCTAAGCAGAAGAGCTCATACCGGTGAAGACACCTGTAACTTCAGTTGCCACCAGTCCAGTGCCAGCACTCTGGGGAGCCACCTGGCACCCGTAACTGCCACCTATTCCCCACCTTTATCCTACTCAGCCTGATTTTGGACTTTTTAGTAACTTAAACTCTTCCTCCTAATACGCAACTTTTAGTAGACCTGATCAGAAATATGCTTTGTCAAGGCCGAGTTCTCTCAGGGAGCTCCCTGTTCTCTTAGGGGAGAGAAAGTTCGTGTAAAACCAGGAAATGAGGAAGCAAAAAAATTGTTTTTGAATGCGCACTGCAAGCAGTAAAAATCACCATAATGCAGGAAGTAAACTGGGCTGTAAATAGGCTCTTCCAGAGATCCCCTCCAAGAATGCATCAGAAAAATAGAGGGAAAATTGAAGAATAAGATGGTTGCAACAACTCCTGGAAAATAGAAATCATTCCACAATAAATGTTCCCAGAGAAGAAACCAGAATAAAAATTTCAATCAGAGGAAAACTATCAAGTTTCCAGTAAGACCTGGGTAGAAATCTAGGCTTACTACATGTGGGAGGCAGAAAAATGCACCTACAAATACTCCACAGCCTGATCCCCGGAACACTTGAATGTGTTCTCTTGCCATCCCTGGCAGGGATTTCGCAGATGAGGTTAGATTAAGACCTTGAGAAATCGGGAGACTGAGGTGGGTTACCTGGGTGGGCTCCAAGCAATCACAAGGGCCCTTGTAAGTGAAAGGGGGAGGCCCGAGAGTCAGAGATTTGAAGGTGCTACTCTGCATGTACATGGATAGAAAACTGCCAGGAAATTACCAAATCAATAAAATGTTTTTAAAAAGGAAAAAGGAAACAAGAAATTTACACCAAGTGAAATAAAATCATACCTTATCTCTAGTGTGAATGGACAGAATTCTTGTATCAGAAGAAACTATCAGATTGGAATTGTTTTTTTCAATTCTATTTTAAAACTCTTTAAGGAAAACTTTAAAGTTAAAAAAGACAGACTTTACATGTATGTCTAATGATTTTTGGCAAGGGTTTCAAAATTTCAGTGGGGAAAGGGCAATCTTTTCAACAAATGGGACTGGATGGTCACATGCATAAGAGTAAACCCTTAACCTAACGTCATACAAAAAAACTAACTCAAAACTCAATGTAAGACCTAGAATTATGAAACTCTGGAAGAAAATAGGTTGTTTCATGATGATGGATTTGACAATGATTTCTTGAAGACATCACTGAAGACTTGGGTAATAAGAAAATAAGACAACTCTGACTTCATGAAAAATTTTTAAACTTGTGCATTAAAAGACACTATGAATAGAGTAAAAAGACAAGTCATAGAACGGGAGAAATATTTACAATCCATATAGCTGATAAAGGACTACTGTCCAGAAGACAGAACCCCGGCGACTCAACAACTGCAACAAAGTAATTCAAAAATAGGACTTGAGTCATCATTTCTCCAAGAAGATAAACAAATGGTCAATAAGCACATGGAATAATGCTCACTATCGCTAATCATTTGGGAAATGCAAATCAAAACTACAATGAGATGTTATTTCACTCCCTAATTAGGGTAGCTAGAAATGGAATCTTTGTGCACTATTGGTAGGGATGTAAAACAGGTCAATTACTATGAAAGAGTATAGCAGCCCCTCAAAAATTAAAAATAGAATTACTGTATCATCCAGCTATTCCAATTCTAGGTAGCTATCCCCCCAAAAAAACTGACAGTGGAGTCCCAAAGAGCTCTTTATAGACGTTCACAGCATCGAAAACTGAAAGCAATCCAAGTTTCTATGAACAGATAAATGGGTAAGCAAAATGGGGTCTGTTCCTGCATTGGAATATTATGCAGCCTTAAAAAGGAAGGAAATTCTGACATAATACCACGACATGAATGAATCTTGAGGACATTATGCTAAGCAAAATAAGCTAGCCCTAAAATGACAAGTACCGTATAGTTCCACTTAGATGAGTTCCCTGGAATAGTCAAATTCACCACCATAAGAGGGTGGTGGCAAGGGGCTGGAGAAGAGAGGAATGGGGGGTTAGTATTTAATGGGTATAGAATTTCAGTTTTTCAAGATGAAAAGAGGTCTGGGAATGGACTGCGTGCAGTGTGAATATACTTACAACTGCCCAAGAGTACACTTTGATAAAAAATAAATTGGCTAAGGAGGCAAATCATAGATACATTTTACCTCAAAGATCATGAAAAGGCAAACTTTATGACAAAAATACAATAGTGAACTGATTTCACAGCTATAGCTATACAGCAAAAACTACTAAATATGCCAAATATATATTGATAAAATTCAGTTGAATAGGGAACTATTTTAAAACTTTTTTTTCTGAATTGGACACACTTGGTGTTCTTTAATAGAAAAATTTTAAAGGTACATTTTACAAGTATCTATAGAATGTTTTTACAAATGCTACCTGGTATAGCAGTCACTGGCTGCCAATGACTACTGACCACTCGAGGGTGACTACAGATACACTGTTAAGTGTAAATACATCCCAGAGTTTAAAGATTTGGTATGTAAGGAAAAGGATGTAAAATCTCTCAGTAATTTTATATTAAGTAGATAATGAAATAATGGTTTAGATATATTTGTGTGAATAAAATATATTATTAAAACTCATTTAACCCTCTTTTTGCTTTTTTCTAACATGGCTACTAAAAAATATGAGCTTACATTATGTTTTCGTTGGGCAATTCAGGGGTAGACCATAAAAAGTCCTATTAAGAAATTTTTGAAATAAGTAACTTCAGAAAACATCCTCTGATTATAACCCAAAATAACTTACAAAATAGAGAAGGGCGGTCACTCTTAACTACACAGGAATAAAGGAACAGCCTTGTAGATAACCATTGACTAAAAGGAAATCAAAACAGAAATTTAAATGACAAAAAAAACTCAAAATAAGAGCAATGTATACCCAAACCTAAGAACATAAAAAATATCTATGATCTTCAGTACTTCATTATTAAGAAAAATCAACGTAAAGGAGTTTGAGGAAATTAGAAAACAACTACAAATAAACCAAAGGGAATAAGAATGACATCATTACTTAAAAAAAAAAAAGCTGGTACTAATGAAATAGAAAACAAAAACCGTCAAAAGAAAAAGCAAATCTAAAAGTTGTTTATTTGAGAAAACCCATAAAATCATACAACCTATCATAAATCTTCAGGAAGAAGAAGGACAAATAATATTAAAGATGTAGATTTTTATTTATTTATGTATTTATTTATACAAGCACTGGGTACAGTCAGAAGCACAGGAGGGTGAGAGAATTCACCAGAGCCAGAGAGGGGAGCAGAACAGGCAGAAGGACCGAAGTACACTGCTGAGGGGAGCAGCGGGCGGCAGGAGAGGTCTGCGAGCCATGTGGGACCCTCGCCCTGCGGCCGGGGATCAAACCAGCGCTGCAAAGGCTGCGAGCAGCTTCGCAACCCAGCGCTCAACCACTGTGCCACCAGGGAGGCCCTAAAGATGTAGATTTTGATCATTCACAGCTGGATAAATTTCGATAAAGTACTTAAAGGGGTCACATCTTAGAGCAAAACATATCAAATAAATGTAAGTGACAAGATCTCAAAGTGAAAATATTGATCGTGGAACATGAACGATA